TGGTTAGCAATACAGAACTTACTCTGGGTCCAATAACCAGGAACACTTGCAGCACCGGTTTCACCAGCATCCCCTAGTGGGAAAAGCATCAGCTGGAATTTGAACACAAAGAGAGAGGTTAAGATAATGATCAATCCTGCCTTGATATAAATGGGAGATTCAAATGAATGTTGTAGTTTCATACACACGTCTTTAGTTAGCCTCCATCAGGGCTGTCACTGTGTAGAGTTCTGAAAACAGAGGCACAACACAGGACATCCCAAGATCAACATAATTAGAAGAACTGCAGTCTGTCACTGTGAACATTGCATCATTCTGTTGTGATTTTGGCAAACAGCGACATTAGAAACAGACAGCTCTCTGAACACACATCGACTAATAGACACTATTTGAAGAAAATAAAAAAAGAGAGTGTCCGAATACTAAATATTATGCAAATGTTTTATAGTCTGTGACATTTAAAAAATAGTACTCTGAATTAGTAATCTAACGCGTGATCGCGTTGACTCCTGCATTCGTTCAGCCTGTCAATTTCAGATCAACAAATGAATTGGGAAATAAATGAAAGTCTCAATCTATTTTAGTTTCACTGTCAGGTTTGATCAACAAATGAATTGGGAAATAAATGAAAGTCTCAATCTATTTTAGTTTCCTTCAAAAAACGAGTTGTTATTTTGACCTTTCCACAAACGGTCTGTATGTGTTGCTTGATATGAACAAGTGTATCAAAGAATAGGTCACGCCTCCACGATTAGTTAGTGGCTACTTCCTGGCCAGTGATCTAGTAAAGCCTAACCTATGGATTGTGCATCCATGAAATGTGGTATCAGCCTGCTCCGTAAACACCCACAGAACACAACTATGTAGACTATTTCATGGGTGCAACATCCACAGGTTAGGCTGCACAGTGAAATATAAGTATGGATGAAATTCTACAGTCTAATACATCCACAGTGCGATTTCAACAGATTTTCTTTGTCAGATTAACTATTTATTGTCGTTTGTTGAATTTACATAACGTTCCGACTTTGTTTAGCATTATCTAGTCCAAATATAGCATGATTCCACTTTTTGTATCCGTGTGTAATTATTTCTAACCAGTTGGCTAACGTAGCAAAGACAGTACGGTTTAGAAACTCTGTAATGTAATGTAGTCTGTGTGTCCATTAGTGATGGGAAGTTCGGCTCTTTTTTACTGACTCGTTCAGTCAAAAGAACAAATCTTTCGACTAATTTTGTTAATTTGAGTCAGTAATTCCCAGAGCACGCAGGACCCCCTACCGGCGAACAATGAATTGAAACCTCTAAAGAGTCGTGATTCAACGAGCCTCTCATTCGCATGTCGTTCACCATAGTGGGGCTTATTGGAGCTGTCATTTGTGACTGAGACTTGTAAACGTGTGCTTTAAACAACGTACATTTGTTGATTGCTAGGCATACAAATACGATTATTTCTTGATACATTTTAAACGAGGTCTAGTTGTGGCTGCAACCGGACTAGATTGTGAACGACTCTTGATGGAATGCATTGCTTGACGATTCATACTAAATTATTCCGCTGCTCTGTCGTTGTTTGTTGAGCAGAGGCTGTGTATGTTTTTGGTTCTACAAAGCTGTGTCCATCATAACATTCAATAATCAATGATCAGTTCTAAACATGTATTCTTCTTCTCTATGCGCATTATCTATTTTCCTGCACACATGAGACATAATGTTGGTGGTCAGAGCACTCTCTGGAGCCGCTGAGCTGGAGGAGTGAATATTAATCCTAGTGTAGGACTCCTTGTGGCTAACACTAGCAAGTCAAATGAACAACAAAAATTAACGAGTCACTCAGGTAAACAAATTATGACTCTCAAGTCAGTAAAAATAGTTGTTGAAAAAATTATGAATCGTTTGCAAATTGCAAATCACTAGTGCCCATGAGCTCCCAAGTTAACTGTGTCTTTTGGCGTCCATGATTAGCTAGTTAGCTGTGTCTTTTGGCGTCCATGATTAGCTAGTTAGCTGTGTCTTTTGGCGTCCATGATTAGCTAGTTAGCTGTGTCTTTTGGCGTCCATGATTAGCTAGTTAGCTGTGTCTTTTGGCGTCCATGATTAGCTAGTTAGCTGTGTCTTTTGGCGTCCATGATTAGCTAGTTAGCTAGTTGCTACTGCATGACCAGTGTGAGACAGCATGCTAGCTGTATAATAATATAATAGTTATAGTGCACAGTAATAATGTTTGGTGGCAGGACGTGCTATTATCAGACCTTCCGGGAAAACCCCCTGGAAATTAATAAAAAAAAAAAAAAAAACGTTTTAAGTGAAATATTAGCTTTTGTCTGAAGCCGAGAAAGACCGGAAATTCAACATCTATTTACATGAAAAGGGCGTTTACATTATTATAATAAATTATTATCCAGGTACATTACCAAGTATATTAAACCAGCTTTAAGAGTATGTGTTAGGCTGTTTGATAGAAGGTTTGAATCCTAATCAACCCATCCAATGTGAGTGCATCTGTTGTTAAAGTACAGTAGATCAATAAAGCTACAGTACTCTAGCAGATGTCGAGCTGCGTAACGTATTGCTGAACAGCTTAAGTCCAATTAGATTTTGAATGTCCCTTCTTTTTCATCTTCAGACAAAAACTAATATTTCCCTTAAAACGTTGTTTTTTGTATGAATAGATATTACAATCAGTGGGTGTTTCTCTGACTGTCTGACTGGCATGCAGATATCCCTAGTAGAGTGGTTTGCGAAAGTATTCACCCCCCTTTGGCATTTGTCCTATTTTGTTGCCTTACAACCTGGAATTAAAATGGATTTTTTGGGGGTTTTATATAATTTAATTTACACAACATGCCTACCACTTTGAAGATGCAAAATATTTTTTATTGTGAAACAAACAAAAAATAAGACAAAAAAACTGAAAACTTGAGCGTGCATAACTATTCACCTCCAAGACATTTAAATGTTTCCCCTTAATCCACTCGAGTGTTGCTTTAGCAGTATGCTTAGGGTCATTGTCCTGCTGGAAGGTGAACCTCTGTCCCAGTCTCAAATCTCTGGAATACTGAAACAGGTTTCCCTCAAGAATTTCTTTGTATTTAGTGCCATCCATCATTCCTTCAATTCTGACCAGTTTCCCAGTCCCTGCCAGTTAAAAACATGGTATTCTCGGGGTGATGAGAGGTGTTGGGTTTGCGCCAGACATAGCGTTTTCCTTGATGGCCAAAAAGCTCATTTTTTGTCTCATCTGACCATAGTACCTTCTTCCATATGTTTGGAGAGTCTCCCACATGCCTTTTGGCGAACACCAAACGTGTTTTCTTTTTTTTTCTTTAAGCAATGGCTTTTTTTCTGGCCACTCTTCCGTAAAGCCCAGCTCAGTGGAGTGTACGGCTTAAAGTGGTCCTATGGACAGATACTCCAATCTCCGCTGTGGAGCTTTGCAGCTTCTTCAGGGTTATCTTTGGTCTCTTTGTTGCCTCTCTGATTAATGCCCTCCTTGCCTGGTTCGTGAGTTTTGGTGGGTGGCCCTCTCTTGGCAGGTTTGTTATGGTGCCATATTCTTTCCATTTTTTAATAATGGATTTAATGGTGCTCCGTGGAATGTTCAAAGTTTCTGATATTTTTTTATAACCCAACCCTGACCTGTACTTCTCCACAACTTTGTCCCTGACCTGTTTGGAGAGCTCCTTGGTCTTCATGGTGCCGCTTGCTTGGTGGTACCCCTTGCTTAGTGGTGTTGCAGACTCTGGGGCCTTTCAGAACAGGGGTATACTGAGATCATGTGACAGATCATGTGACACTTAGATTGCACACAGGTGGATTTTATTTAACTAATTATGTGACTTCTGAAGGTAATTGGTTGCACCAGATCTTATTTAGGGGCTACATAGCAAAGGGGGTGAATACATATGCACACACCACTTTTCCGTTATTTATTTTTTAGAGTTTATTTGAAACAAGTTTTTTTTTTTTTTTTCACTTCACCAATTTGGACTATTTTGTGTATGTCCATTACATGAAATCCAAATAAAAATCCATTTAAATTAAAGGTTGTAATGCAACAAAATAGGAAAAACGCCAAGGGGAATGAATACTTTTGCAAGGCACTGTATACAGTGGTGTAAAGTACTTAAGTAAAAATACTTTAAAGTACTACTTAAGTAGTTTTTGGGGTATCTGTACTTTACTTTACTATTTATATTTTTTCACAACTTTTACTTTTACTTCACTACATTCCTAAAGAAAATAATGTACTTTTACTCCATTTATTTTCCTTGACACCCAAAAGTACTCATTACATTTTGAATGCTTAAACAGGACAGGAAAATTACCTAATTCACACACTTATCAAGAGAACATCCCTGGTCATCCCTACTGCCTCTGATCTGGCAGACTCACTAAACACACATGCTTAGTTTGTAACTAGATAAAATACCAAATAAAATGGTGCTGTCTGGTTTGCTTAATATAAAGAATTTGAAATGATTTATACTTTTAATTTTGATACTTTAGTATATTTAAAACCAAATACTTTTAGGCTTTTACTCAAGTAGTATTTTATTGGGTGACTTTTACTTGAGTCAATTTCTATTAAGGTATCTTTACTTTTACTCAAGTATGACAATTGGGTACTGGTGGTATAGAGTCTTACCATTGTTATCAAATGAGGCTCTTTGATTAAAAAGGGAGCCATTTCTCAGAGACGATCATACACTGACCTCTGGAGGGTAACTGTGGGATTCCACTAATTCCACTCATTCACGCCAGAAGTCTAAACTATCCCATTCAACAAAATTCCATTGGCTTGAGATATAAAACAAAAGGAACACATTTAAGATGACCCCTAAATACATATACCTTTTACACAAACCATGCCACAATATAATGATACTGTCACTAAAGCAGATATGATGAAATGCAATTACAATCAAGTTAGAAGGTACTGCAAGTTTTAGACTGGAGCTTGTCAGCCCTGCTTTATGACAGACAGTTACTGTCACATGATGCAGCATGGCAGAGGGAGAGGAGGGGGGAAGGGGTGGGCGGGAGGAGGAGAGGGAGAGGGGGAGGGAGGACGGGAGGACATTACGGGTGAGGGAGAGGGAGAGGGAGGGGGATGGGGAGAGGGAGAAGAGGGGAGGGGAGGGAGGGGAGGGGAGAGGGAAGGGAAGAGGGGAGGGGAGGGTGGAAGGGAGAGGAAGGAGAGGGAGGAGAGGGGGAGGGGAGGGGAGAGGGGAGGGGAGAGGGGAGAGAGGGAGGGAGGGGGAGAGGCCCCGGGAGGGGCGAGGGAGGGAGGGGAGGGAAGGAGAGGGGAGAGAGGGAGAGGGAGTGGGAGGGAGGGTTGAGGGAGGGGGGGAGAGGGGAAGGGGAGGGGAGTGGGAGGGGAAGGAGAGGGAGGGGGAGGACCGGGGGAGGGGGGGGGAGGGGAAAGGGGAGGGGAGGAGAGGGAAGGAGAGGGGGGGAGGGGGAGGGAGAGGGAGGGGAGAGGGGAGGGAGAGGGAGGAGGGAGAGGGAGAGGGGAGGGAAGAGGGGAAGGGGGGGGAGGGAGAGGGAAGGGAGGGGGAAGGGTGGAAAAAAAAAAGGGGCCCAAAAACCGGAAAAAGGGAAAGAAGAAGGAAGAGAAGAGAAGAAGAGAAACCAAGACATAGCGGGAAGAAGAAGAAGAAAACAAGAAGAAGCAAAGACATAAGACCACGAAATCTCGCTCGGTCCTTCCCCATCCTCCTCCTCTTCCTCATTTCCTCCCTCGACTCCTCCTTCCTCGACTCCTCCTCCTAGCCTCCTCGACTCCATGCCCTCCTCTCTCCTCTACCCTCCACCTGACCCCCCGCCCCTCCCCCCTCCCTCCCTTCCCTCCACTCTCAGGAATATCTCCTCCTCCTCCTCCTCTTCCTCCTCTCCTCCTCCTCCTCCTCCTCCTCTCCCCCTCCTCCTCTTCCTCCTCCTCTCCTCATCCTCTCCTTCCTGCTGCTTTTCTTAGTACTGCTGACAGAAATAGAAGCTGTCAGTTTGGAAGAGGATCCAACTCCGGTAACAACAGTGAAATGTCATGATATTAATTCTAAACACTACATTTGGATATTGTCTTTTTACGTTGTCTTTTTTATTGATGTTTTTCATTACATCAATCAATTAAAAAAAGTCAATATCCAAATGTAAACGTTTCTTATTAATATCATGAATTTGATGTTCTATTTATAGGGTTGGAACAGGATCCAACTCCAGTAACCCCCCATGCCAACGCACCTGCTGCTACAGACAGATACTGAGAGAGACAGAGATGGTGAGAGAGATACAGAGAGAGAACAGGGGAGGGGAAATAAAGAACAGAATGAGTGTTTTTGTGTGACGCTTTAACACTGTGGGGACAGGGAGCCACGATGATATATTTACATAGAGACGCCGTACAAAAACCTCCTACCGTTCACTTCAATACAGGAGATGGCTGGGGCCCATTCATACACTATTACAGACTGTTGAGGAGTCTGGAGAGATGCTTCTGAACAACTCGATAATACTGAAGGATAAAACAGGATTTCAACCAATCTTCAGGATTATAAAATATACTTTATTGGGAGAATTTTCCTGGACAAGACAACAAACTTATGAAGTCAGATTTAGTTAGATAAGAGAGTTTGTTTTTGATTCCTGTTTGACCATAAAATCTCCTCAAATGCATTACTGAACTGTTTTTTAGAGTATCTCTGAGTATCTCTGTTCATATTCCCTTGAGGGTGAACGACAAAGAGATCTGAGGTAGTTTTGGAAGAGGAGGCAAACGATGTGACTCTGGAAGTGAGGCCTACTTTGGGAATGGAACCAAACTCACTGTTTTAGGTAAGTTCACTTCAGATGAATTACATTGATATAGATCTGGAAACCCTGAAGATGTTTCATGGAGTATCCATGATACAGCTGAACTAAATGGTTGATGTGAAAACACTGTGACTTCAACTCAACCAGCCTACTTTGGCAATGGAACCAAACTCACTGTTTTAGGTAAATACTTTCTACTCTATTTACTTACTGTACTTGACGATGTTATGTTTATGGCTCTAACGGTTCATTTGAACAATTGACTAGTACTAAAAAAAACGAGTATTGCTAAAGTATTTTAGATGCCAAAACGCATAGACAAGTTCAGTAGCTAGTGGTCGGGATAATTACTGCTCAGTATGTCTTCACTGTGACAACTATGATCCTGCGTTCTTCGGAGCTGGAACCAAACTGACTGTTCTGGGTAAGATAATATTGACCTTGATATAACTAATGGGTCTCTATTTGTGGTCTAGTGGTACGGCGATGTGAGGAGTTAGTTGATTGTGGATACAGTACATTGGATTAGGTGCATACTAGTGTTTACTCCACTCAATGCTTTTTGATGTTAAGCCTGTGCACTGTGCCAACTACGAGGCATATTTTGGACCAGGCACCAAATTAACAGTTGTCGGTAAGTAATCCATATACTATGTTTGGCGTATGGACGGTCAATGTGAGCGAGACAACATACTTGTGAGAAGAGATGGGATATCATAGTATTACAGTATGTTTGAGTCATCCGTGTCGGTCTTATATAAACGGGTTAAAACATGGTGTTGAATGGTATGACGTCTTGAACAATAGAGTTATCAGAGGCCGTGTATGATTGGGATTCAAAGTAGAAGAGGAAAGGTTTTGCTAGACTATAGCTATATCAGAGCAGTGTTCTGTGCTGTGCTAATGGTTTTGCTAGACTATAGCTATATCAGAGCAGTGTTCTGTGCTGTGCTAATGGTTTTGCTAGACTATAGCCATATCAGAGCAGTGTTCTGTGCTGTGCTAATGGTGCCGGCCAGGCTCACTTCAGCGGAGGAACCAGGTTAACTGTTCTAGGTGAGAAATTACACTAAAAAAGTGCAGTGATCTATGTTGGTTATTAACCATGTAAGCTACATGGTTATAATGTATGTGGTTGTAAGCTTTTTAGAGAAATGTACTGTGACAGAACGACTGTGTAGTGCCTTTGAATGTCCTCCTTTACGTGGTCACATAAAGGTTGAGTAAATCCACTGTGCTGGTGGTGGCGGCCAGGCTTACTTCGGCGGAGGAACCAGGTTAACTGTTCTAGGTGAGAAATTACACCAACATAATACAATGTTCGCACCTGATGTGATAAATACTACATGTGATTTGTGCACCTTCACATCGTATGGCTAGACTATGTAGGTTACAGTGTGTGGTTGATGATATTCATGGATTGGAATGTGACCCAAGGATCGGTAGAGGTGGAGAGCACTTGAATTTCATTCGTAAAATAGTCACAATAATGTATCTGGTTATAAACTATGTCAGATTTACCGTCCAGCTGAACGTCTCTGAGAGTTACTGTGAAGAGTATTTGAATAACTTTAACAGAGTAACAAAGGTGGAGTCAATCCAAAGTCAGAGAGAGTAAAGTAGAGCCTTTATGAGACAGCTTTGTGTCTCTGTGCTCATACTCGGAGGCATACTTCGGAGACGGCACCAAACTCACCGTTTTAGGTAAGAAAATGAAGTATAAGCTGCTGTGGACTCTCTCTCTCTCTGACAAATGTACATGAGGGAATAACTAAGACCAAAAAAGTAACATTTGGCAATATAGAAAATATCTCATTTGACTACAAATCTAAATAGTCTTAAAGTAAGAGAGTATACTTGAATGGATCACTGTAAAGCATTAGTTATGTTCCCCATCATCATGGTATCAAACTGTCTGGCTCCGTGCCCAGACGCAGTCTACCGTCAGAATAATACTTGTTATCAGCTCTGGAAGTAGCTAGAGGAGGAGAGGGTCCTTGGCAGTGGAACTAGACACCGTCTTGGGGTATTTAGGTCAAAACAATGATCATTTCATCTCCACATAATCATGTCATAACATTTCATAGAATAAATCCAACAACCGAAGACAGCAGGTTAGGGTGTAAAGGCTACGGATCAACTCTGCTGGAGTAGTGAGGAGGGGTTTTCTCTGTAGCTGTGTATCAGTGTGAACAACTACCCGGCATACTTCGGCAACGGCACCAAACTCACAGTTCTGGGTGAGAAAACTGATTCTGTCATCTGTTATCTATGCCCTCATGGGTTTCTCTGTTACTGAAAGAGACGTTGTCTTTATTTTAAATTTCTGTGTGTGAACCAGAGGGAGAGAAAATCTATTTTGGGGGTTATAAAATAATGTTCCAATTACTCAGGCGTTGGTTTGTATGAATCTATATTGTGCTGTTGTATCAGTTTGAATGGAACTGCATAATAAGTCAGAACAGGCAAAGTGATAGACCTGCGGCAGGTATTATCCAGTGTCTGTAATGTCGAGTATGGTTTCTCTCTGTGGTACACGGATAAGGCAGAGTTTGGTCCAGGTACCAGACTCACTGTTCTAGGTAAGCGATTCAGCTTTTCAACTTTCAAAAAAATATTGTAAATACATCATCATGAAATGATTTTTAAAATAAAGGGGTGTATTGTATTGCGTTCCAGGCATAGTTGAGCATGAAAATATTCAGGGGGAAAACATTTAAGCTGTACAAAGAGCTAATGATAACGTGAATTGGGCCTATGCTTTGTCGACATAGACATAATTAGAAATGCAGTATTACTTCCTTTGCTACAAGCCAAACTACTGCAAATACAGCACTGGGTAGCTGGGATCCTCTGGGTTTTCTGTCTGTGAGTATGTGGTGTGCTCTGGTGGTTATGCTGCCTACTTTGGAGAGGGAACGAAGCTAACAGTTCTGGGTAAGAATACTGTAATACTGTAGTAATACTGTAAGAATACTGTAAGAATACTGTAGTAATACTGTAGTAATACTGTAGTAATACTGTTATAATACTGTACGAATGCTGTAAGAATACTGTAAGAATACTGTAATAATAATGTAAAAATACTGTAAAAATACAGTAAGAATACTATACGAATACTGTTATACTACTGTACGAATAATACTGTAATAATATTGTACAACTACTGTAAGAATACTGTAAGAATACTGTCATAATAATGTAATAATACTGTAAAAATACCGTAAGAACACTATATGAATACTGTTATACTACTGTACGAATACTACTGTAATAATGCTGTTACAATACTGTAAGAATACCGTAAGAATACTGTAAGAATACTGTAAGAATACTGTAAGAATACTGTTATAATAATGTACGAAAAATACTGTAATACTACTGTTATAATACTGTTATAATAATCTAAGAATAATACTGTAAGAATACTGTAGTAAAAATATTACTGTAAGAATACTGTAAAAAATACTATAAGAATAATACTCTAAGAATAATTATGTGAGAATACTGTAATAATACTGTGAGAATAATACTGTGAGAATAATATTGTAATAATAACTGTAATAATGCTGTATTAATACTGTAACAATAATGCTGTAATAATAATAATAATACTGTTATAATAATACTGTAACAATGCTGTAATAGTATAGTTGAGCGGATCTCTGTGTGTGTGTGTGTGTGTGTGTGTGTGTGTGTGTGTGTGTGTGTGTGTGTGTGTGTGTGTGTGTGTGTGTGTGTGTGTGTGTGTGTGTGTGTGTGTGTGTGTGTGCTATTCTTCCCCAGGACCACGATCTGCTCAACATCTTTTAGGAGTCTGAATTCTGGCTGTAAATTCATTTGTTCTGATTCCGACTGGGATTCTGACCCTCCCATAAGCTTTCCATTAGCATGGGTTAGGGTGTATTTCTTGGCCAGTTAGTTCACCCAAATTACAATGACATTGGTTTCCTTGGCCTGTAGGCCAGTCTATGGACAAGGTATGACAACAACATGCTTTGGTTTGGTTTCCCTTGCACTGTTGGCACATGGTAGCGTTTCGGCATTTGTGGCACAAGTCTCATTGAAGTCATTTGAACGATATTGGCATTTGTCGCGCATCAGTATGAAAAATGTATGCACTCACTAACTGTAAGTCGCTCTGGATAAGAGCGTCTGCTAAATGACTAAAATGTACAAATGTAATAACACTGTAATAATAATGCTGTAACAATGCTGTAATAATACTGTAATAATGCTGTATTAATAATGCTGTAATAATAATGCTGTAATAATAATACTGTAATAATAATACTGTAACAATAATGCTGTAATAATAATAATAATACTGTAATAATACTGTAATAATGCTGTAATAATAATGCTGTAATAATAATACATTGTCAAGTACAGTACCCATTATATAGGGGTGGTACAGTTCAGTAACAAAGTGGTTCCTTCCAAGCTGCTGTCCTTCACATTCTGTTTCTATGTGTTTAACTGTCTCATCATACATTTAGTGATTAACTGTCTCATCATACATTTAGTGATTAACTGTCTCATCATACATTTAGTGATTAACTGTCTCATCATACATTTAGTGATTAACTGTCTCATCAAACATTTTCTGATTAACTCTCTCATCATACATTTTCTGATTAACTGTCTCATTGATGAATTTTCTGATTAACTGTATTTTAAAGCACACAGGTTCAAGTATGATTCTGACAACAAACAGAGCCATTGATTGAGTGTTAAAATATTCAACTGTTTCCTCCCTGCAGACCCAGCTATCAATGGCACAGTGAATGGCACAGTGAAAGTCCTTCCACCCTCCACTGAGGAGTGTGAGGCTAGAAACAAGAAGAAGAAGAAGACTCTGGTGTGTGTGGCCACCGGCTTCTACCCCGACCATGTCACTGTCTTCTGGCAAGTCAACGATCACAACAGAACTGAAGGCGCCGGGACCGACAACAAGGCCTTGCAGAATGACAATAAATTATACAGTATCACCAGCAGATTGAGAGTCCCAGCCAACGAATGGCACAACCCTGCCAACAGATTCACCTGCAATGTCATCTTTTACAATGAGAAGGGCTATAAACCTGGGAAAGACACCATTAGTGGAGATCTCCAAGGTAATAAAACATGAACACTGTCTTTGTTTATGAGAAGAAAGAGATCTGACTGAACTAGTACACTCGTTTTTAGGCTCTAATGCGTTTCCCCCATGTCTAAGTGGTACTGCGGTGTATCATCTCATCTGAAACTCTCCTTCTTTGTTTCTTTCAGGTCAAAGTGGTGAAGGGATGACTAGAGGTAAATGTGCCCATTTTATACTAAAGTTCTTATGCTCTGGTCCTCTGTAGCTCAGCTGGTAGAGCATGGTGCTTGTTTAACGCTAGGGTAGTGGGTTCGATCCCCGGGACCACCCATACACAAAGAATGTATGCACGCATGACTGTAAGTCGCTTTGGATAAAAGCATCTGCTAAATGGCATATTATTATTATTATTATTATTATTATTATTTTATCCTTCATGCCTAAATACATGACATACTGTACTGTGTTCCTGGTCCTGGGTTAGGGTTAGACCTAGTGTGTACATCAGTGTGTTCCTGGTCCTGGGTTAGGGTTAGACCTAGTGTGTACATCAGTGTGTTCCTGGTCCTGGGTTAGGGTTAGACCTAGTGTGTACATCAGTGTGTTCCTGGTCCTGGGTTAGGGTTAGACCTAGTGTGTACATCAGTGTGTTCCTGGTCCTGGGTTAGGGTTAGACCTAGTGTGTCCATCAGTGTGTTCCTGGTCCTGGGTTAGGGTTAGACCTAGTGTGTACATCAGTGTGTTCCTGGTCCTGGGTTAGGGTTAGACCTAGTGTGTACATCAGTGTGTTCCTGGTCCTGGGTTAGGGTTAGACCTACAGTTCCGCTAATTACCTCAGTGTGTTCCTGGTCCTGGGTTAGGGTTAGACCTAGTGTGTACATCAGTGTGTTCCTGGTCCTGGGTTAGGGTTAGACCTAGTGTGTACATCAGTGTGTTCCTGGTCCTGGGGAATTACCCACCTGATTCCGCTAATTACCTCATCATCAAGCCTGATTAGTGGAATCCGTTGTGTTAGTGCTAGGGCAAAAACAACAATCTGCTTCCCTTTGGGTCCCCAGGACCAGGACTAAGAAACCCTGCTTCCCTTTGGGTCCCCAGGACCAGGACTAAGAAACACTGGCCTAGATCATTGGTTGTACTGCACGTTTCTTAATGGATGACCTGCTAACAATATCACCTGATACCTTCTTAATCAAGGTCATTTGAATGTATCCTTTTCCTTGCAGAGTACTATGTGAAGAGCACTCTGACTGCCAAACTGGCCTACAGCGTCTTCATCGCTAAGAGTACCTTCTATGGACTGGTCGTCATGGTTCTGATTTGGAAGTTTAAGGTGAGTTCACTGCAACTATGATAAAAGGGACATCCGCACACCCCTCTCTCTCTCTTCTTCAATCTATGCCTTGTGCTTAGATGAGTCCCAGATCAGTTTGTACCGTCTTGCCAACTCCTATGGTCAGGGTGACAGTGACTGCACAAACAGATCCCACTGGGCACACCACGTCATTTCAACGTGGATGACCGGGAAATATTTGGTTGAGACGTTGATCAATGAGATTGCACATTTATATTCACCCGCTCAAAAAGACAGCCAAAAGTTAGTTGAATTTCCAATGTGTTATCCCCATGCCTTCAATCCAAATAAAAGCACGACCAAGTTCCAATGGAAAAACAATGTCTGATTTTTGGTTTTAGCCCAAATGTCTATCACTGCTCTTTCAACCATTTTTAAAAGCACAACAAAGTTCCAAATGGGAATACAATGTCAGATATTTAATAATTTATAGAACAGATTAATGTGTTATCACTGTGCTTCATCTAACAGCAGAACCAAATGACCTGGATTGCAGTTGAGATTACATGAAAGTACATGGTACAAGTGATCAATGCCGTTCGAGATTGAAAGATTATTTGTAAGAGCCTGTATTACAAAAGTAATATTGAAATGTGTTTGGTTGACAACGCAATCAAATATCAACATTTTAAAGGAGATGTATCTTCTGCTCTGATAGTACCATCTGAGCCACTGGCTTAATCCCATTCTTTAACTTTTATTTTTTGGTTGAGTTGGAGACGGGAATCCAACATGTAATTTGTTAATTTATCGAAAAAGTTAACAGGCTATTTATTGTATTTCAAAAGTGATACTGAATTGTGTTAGGTTGACAACGCAACCAAATATCAACATTTAAAGGAGATGTATCTTCTGCTCTGATAGCACCATCTGTGCCACTGACTTAGTCTGGCTTTAATTCCAGTTTGTCTACAAATGAATAATTGATACGTTGGATTCACGTCTCCATCTCAACCAAACATCTAAGCTAAATAATAATACTAAATCAATTAAAACTTTAAAGCACTACATTTTGTTTAGTTATGTTCTTTAACTTAGATGTTTGGTTGAGATGGAGACGTGAATCCAACGTATCAATTATTCATTTGTAGACAAACTGGAATTAAAGCCAGACTAACGCAGTGGCACAGATGGTGGCACAATATCACTAAATATCATTACATTTGAAATCCACCCGAGCTAGAAGCCCAGGCCTGTTGTAATGTAATTTCTTTGTTGAATTGAAACAACAGCTGTTGACGACTTTGCGAATGTTACACAGGCCTAAATAGTATCATTGATCACATATGAGTGGGAAAGTTAAACCTACCCTTTGGAATGACTCTCTTTAGTTTTTAAGTGGAGATCTCTCAACAGTCATTCTCACGATAACACGTTGGTAATAGTCAGTGACAAATATCATATCATAACTCTTTGTCTGTGTTTACCATACAGGGCTCCTCAGAGAAACAGATTTAACGGAAGACCAGTGGGTGTTGATTCTACCATGTGATCAAGGACGGACTGGCCATATGGCAAGTCTGGAAAATGCCAGATGGGCTGGTCCATCTTTATCCCAGTGGGCCTGTCTAAATTGGCTTTTTTTTTGAGCAAATGAATCATTATTTGGCTAGTAAAGGTGGCCTTAAGGAAAAACATGGGCCGGTGTGTTAGAAATGCCCGGGCTGATTTCTGGTCCCAGTTCGTCCCTGCATGTAACTGCAATGTCCATTGTGCTTATTGCCTCCATAACCTCTCTAGTACCCCGTCTATGTGCTTATTGCCTCCATAACCTCTCTAGTACCCTGTGCTTATTGCCTCCATAACCTCTCTAGGACCCTGTGCTTATTGCCTCCATAACCTCTCTAGGACCCTGTGCTTCTTGCCTCCATAACCTCTCTAGGACCCCGTCTATGTGAAGACATGTTTTTTACACTCTCCTATAAACATGAACTTGCAATTTAATGTATATTTGAGTAAATTCAGCCAAAACAGTCTTTCCATTAACTCACAAAACCAATGTTTGTTTGTCATTTGTTTTTCCAGTAATTACAGTGTGGTTTGTAATAAATATATTTTGTTTTCCAATTTCTAAATGTTCATTTATGAATCATAAACTGTATATCATTAGGGACAGATCGACATTTACTGGGAGGAGGGGGTGGGATGGTCCTTGGCAGCAGCTAATGGGGTTCCACAATAAATACAATTACAAACTCAAGGAGGCATAAAAAAACATTTCCCCACCCTCCCCTTGTAGTGTAAAATAAATTGAACACCCTTCATAGAATTAACTCAAAATAATGTTTACGACCACAGATAACAATAACTATAGCGACCCTGTGTTTTTAAACGTGGATATCGACCCCCTTCAGCATGCTTTTGTGGCACAGTTGATGCCACGCAGGGCTACGGTCCAGAAGGTTGAGTGTTCAACGACCACCCTAGACGAGCTCACTTGCCCTGCCTGTTTCATTACATTACGATCAGAGCCGGCTGCAGACAATGATCAGCTAGGGGGAAATCTGATTTCAACATTTTGATGCCATATTTATTTAAAATATATGCAAAACAAATTCCACCAACAAGGTTTTCACAACCAATGACTTCGGGCACTTCAATATCATGGTTTGTGTTTTCAACACCACAATAAATAGACTGTGTCAATCTGGACAAACAGGAAATACATTCCTCCCTACCTTGTAGGTTTATCCAGTATCGAAGGCTTGGCTTGACAATCTCCTAGTGTCATTCAACTTTTTGGTGCTTTGTAACAGATGTCTCTTTTCATTAATCATTTGGCCACTGCACAGTTTGGATTGATGGATTTTATTTGTTTTAAAAAATACATATATACACAAAGATTGAGCAATAAAGTCGGGGACTTATTTCCATTATGGTCTCTATTTTTTTTTACATAAATACATAAACAATTACAGAGATAGAGACACATTACAGAGATACAGACACATTACAGAGATACAGACACATTACAGAGATACAGACACATTACAGAGATACAGACACATTACAGAGATAGAGACACATTACAGAGATACAGACACATTACAGAGATACAGACACATTACAGAGATAGAGACACATTACAGAGATACAGACACATTACAGAGATACAGACACATTACAGAGATACAGACACATTACAGAGATACAGACACATTACAGAGATAGAGACACATTACAGAGATACAGACACATTACAGAGATACAGACACATTACAGAGATAGAGACACATTACAGAGATAGAGATGAAAAAATGCTCAACCTCCAGATGAGTTTGAGGGGGGAGAAACAGTCTTCCTTGTTTGTCTGGTGGCTGATTGTTTAGACGTTTGGGGCTGCTGGTGAACCATGATATGCAGCATAATCAATGTGACACTGGACTAGCACACCTGCCAGAGTCTGTAGAGTCTATAGCTATAGGTTTCCATCCAATTGGCAACAGATTTTCATGTGAATATTCAAATCTTCATAAGAACAATATGCCATTTCAAAGTTTCCTTTAGGAAAGATTTGGTGCCGGACAACATGACATGGAAGATTTTAATTTACTGGACATTTGTGACATTTAATGGATATCCATATGCATTCAGATCCAACCTGGCGCAACCAGCGCCATCAATAAACAAGGGATGTTGGCCAAATGAGCCACATTTACGTGTCCTTAAAAACAGCCTGTAACAAATTACAAAAACATTGTGTTTCTATGAGTAGCATTTTTTTTGGGGGGGGGGGCGGGGTTAGGCTACATTCCTAAAACAATAATTGTCCACCTCACGGTTCAGCTGTCAGAGATTTGAGCACTAAATGTATCAGGGGGTATGATATTAATATTTTAATAAATGTATCAGGGGGTATGATATAAATATTTTAATAAATGTATCAGGGGGTATGATATTAATATTTTAATACATGTATCAGGGCGTTGAATGCAGTGCTATAGGATTACAGTGGGAAAAAAAGTATTTAGTCAGCCACCAATTGTGCAAGTTCTCCCACTTAAAAAGATGAGAGAGGCCTGTAATTTTCATCATAGGTACACGTCAACTATGACAGACAAAATGAGAAAAAATGTGTAGGATTTTTAATGAATTTATTTGCAAATTATGGTGGAAAATAAGTATTTGGTCAATAACAAAAGTTTCTCAATACTTTGTTATATACCCTTTGTTGGCAATGACACAGGTCAAACGTTTTCTGTAAGTCTTCACAAGGTTTTCACACACTGTTGCTGGTATTTTGGCCAATTCCTCCATGCAGATCTCCTCTAGAGCAGTGATGTTTTGGGGCTGTCAAGATCTTCAGTTTCTTGGCAATTTCTCGCATGGAATAGCCTTCATTTCTCAGAACAAGAATAGACTGACGAGTTTCAGAAGAAAGTTCTTTGTTTCTGGCCATTTTGATCCTGTAATCGAACCCACAATTGCTGATGCTCCATATACGCAACTAGTCTCAAGAAGGCCAGTTTTATTGCTTCTTTAATCAGCACAACAGTTTTCAGCTGTGCTAACATAATTGCAAAAGGGTTTTCTAAATGATCAATTAGCATTTTAAAATGATAAACTTGGATTAGCAAACACAACGTGCCATTGGAACACAGGACTGATGGTTGCTGATAATGGGCCTCTGTACGCCTATGTAGATATTCCATAAAAAATCTGCCGTTTCCAGCTACAATAGCCATTTACAACATTAACATTTTCAAATCAAAGTCGCACACCTCATGTAGCCTAGCCCATAGGCCTATATGTTTTGATAAGGTTTGTATCACAACTAAAGTGGCCAAATAACTTCTTAAAATTAAGCACATTAATCTGCTTTACAAGGGGTGTAGAGCCTAACTGGCATACATAAGCAGCGGGTGAGTTTCAAGTTTGGGGAAGATAATTTTCACCATAAAAATGCACCTTTATAGTAAAAGCATTTCATGCGTAATCGTATTTGCGGTCACTTTTGATAATGGTGTTTTCCCGCTAATGGAACATTCGCGCTTACAGCCTACTGCCGTGTGCACATTGCTACGTTTATAATGTGAAGAAACAGACTAATAGTTTATCAACATTTTAAGCTAAACGTTCTGATCTGTTGCATCAGCCTCATTGCGTATAAAATGTTTTTTGATGCTAGTGGTTGTATTAATTTGGGATCTAACACATCCCACAACTGTCCCAGACTATGTTTGGAATATTTATTTCTCGCACAGAATAGAACAGGTCAACTTTTGTACTATGGGGGATAGTAGATTGACAGAGGCTAGTGCTTTTGCTGTTCGTTAAGCCTACTCATCTTGTTGGCTGACGAAAAGTAAATGTGGACAGAAATTTGAGGCATTATCAAGTGCTTGTCAAATTGTGAATGAGAGACTGATGAAGAGTGTTCAGCCTGCGCAACAAACAAAGCAGAGCTCATGCCTTTCATTAGTTGCATCATGCAGCCTTAGAATGTATAATAAATCTAAACATATAGCCCAACGTTTGTTGAACAACTAAAGTTACATTAATTACTCTAAATTAAACATATAGGAGGACCTGTTTCTTTGTTAACCGCTCAACACAGAACAGCCGCATGTGCGCACTCCCTCAAATCGTTTGGAGAAAACATCCTTTATTTTATTTAGCTTTGTTCAATTGTATTCTTCATTCTATAAAATAATGCCACTGAATTCTAAGGAAATCTTGTCTGCTAAATGAACTAGTGTAGCCCACAGCCTTATGGCAAAGCCAAATCAGGACCTAACATAAGGACAACTCAGAGTATGCTATTCTGTTCTTCTGAAATAGACCATATTTCCTTCATATCATGTAATGGATTTATTGTGATGGTGTAAACTACATGACATAGATTTAATTGACTTTTTAAAATGTAGATTTTCCAAAGGTCTGCATCAGTGGCTTGTAGGTTATGTGTGGAAGCCAGGAGATGCTAAATGTGTTTATGTTAATTAACTTTCAAGTACTGTGAGACCGACAGTTATTTGCTTGACAATCACCGGCTGACGAAATTTTGTGACCGCCACAGGCCTACACAATACCAAACCTTCACAAACCGTTTCTAAACTTTATTAGGGTAATATTAAAAGTCAGTCAAGCCGTTGTTTATTGGGAAAATACAGCAGAAGAGCAAATGTAAACCAGGGGAAAAAAACACACTACCCTCCCCCCGTGCCCCCCCACAAAACACTACCCTCCCCCCGTGCCCCCCCACAAAACACAACCCTCGCCCCAAAGCAAAAAAAAATTTGACCCCCCCCCCCCCCCCCGTAAATGTTGATCTGTCCCTTAGTATGCCTGTGTAGTTCCAGCATATCAACCCATCTAGCAAACATAAACTGTTCCTATAGACTCAATAAGAAAGATTGACCCCAATACTTATTTCCAGCTAAGAGAAGTTAGTGACGTTGAATCCTGAGATGACTCATAATGGCAGTTATGGAAAGAGCTGGGCGGTGACCAAGCTGAAAATAACAGACACTCTTTGGAAGATGGAACAAGTTGATATAATGTCATCCATCACAAGGTGGTGTTGATTTACTCAAGGCTCTTTGGAGCAGAAAACTCTCAACAGTGTTTTGATTTCAAATGTATCTTTATTCTTTCCATGAAGGGAGGATGTTGTTTTTTTGTTGCAGGTATTTTAATTCTGCTGTGTGTGTGTCTGTATCACACCTGTTTCTGAGAAACACACCACTTCCTGCCCACACAGAGAGGACGTTTCCATGACGCTCTGCAGCGCTGCAGTGCATCTTGGTCTCATGGCCTATACACTCAAGTGGAAAGGTTCTATGTGGGTTCATCTGGCTCGGATCTTATTTTCCACTCTGAGCCAAAAGGAAGTTTTAGGCTTCATTCACAGCAGTTCAAAACTTTGAGTTGATGTCTGCAAGTTTAATGGCTGTATATAAGCTATAAATTGTCCTTTTTGCAAAAAACATTTATGGCCTGGGGGGGGGAGCAACAGTGTGGTGACTGTATCACATCGCTGTATCTCTACCTTGTAACAGGAAATGGACGCTCTCGTCATCGCATAGAGGAGTGGGGGTGGTGTGTGTTAGTGGTTGCAGTGAAACCGAGTCCTGGAGCCTTGCAGCTCTGCAGGGGTGGAGGTAGAGAGAGAGAGAGAGACAGCCGAGGAGAGGATGTGGTGACGGAGAGAACACGCTGAACGCTGAAGCACAGGCAGGATGCTGAGAAACTGCCTTCCATCTCACCACAACCTTACCCAACTCACACCGTGCAACACACATCTGCAGCTTTGCAACGCTCTCTCCTCCGCTCCTCTCCTCAGGTCTCCGCAAACACAACCGTCACAGATGATGTTCCATTTCTATGTCAACTGTCATAACAAAAGGCCCAGAGCGCTTTCTGAGTCACACGTTGTCACCGTCACATTCACAGCTGTTTGTTCAATCTGTTGTAAAGAAATGACAAGTAGTGTAGTCTATCTTCTACAGTGTTTTGTTGTTCATTCTAATGTTCCATGTAGTGTTCTGGAAGAAAGGGCTTTCGGAGACTCCTGTAGCTCTGATGACTGTAAAAGCAATGGAACTTGTAGAAGACGATGGTACCTATAATCAACTGACTAAATAGCTAGCCTGAGTACCAGTCTTGATTTAGCCTGGGTACCAGTCTTGATTTAGCCTGGGTACCAGTCTTGATTTAGCCTGGGTACCAGTCTTGATTTAGCCTGAGTACCAGTCTTGATTTATCCTGGGTACCAGTCTTGATTTAGCCTGGGTACCAGTCTTGATTTAGCCTGAGTACCAGTCTTGATTTAGCCTGAGTACCTGTCTTGATTTAGCCTGAGTACCAGTCTCTGTAACTAATCCACTCCCTGTACTCCATGTCATGTGCCAAAGAATTGTATTTGGCAAAGACAAGGAGTGGTAAGGAGTGGAACATTAGCTAAAGAGACTGGTACTAGACCAGTAAATAGCACCACATCTAAACATGTTATTTCATGATGGACCTGAAGGCCATTGACAGTGAGTGCATGCTGGGACATTTAGTCCCTTGGATCCTTAATGAGTCTTTAACGATGGCGTGGTGCGTGTGTTTGGTTTTTGTACAGAACCCTGTATGATCTGTCATACCGGGGGTGCTGGCAGCACAGTAGCAGACAGACCTGAAAGCAGACTGCTCCAGACCCACTCCATCTGACTCCAGGATCATCCCCCTGGTCTATTGGTCCTGAACCCATCTACACTGACTGGATCCACAATCCCTGCTCCTACCGATCTGAGCAGCACTCTAAGCCCCTCTGCAGCGGTCCATAGGTACCAGTACAGGTTTGGGCTGCTGTTGTAGAGCAGGTGATTTTAAAGGGAGAGCCTGGAAATACAGCGGGGAAAAAAGTATTTAGTCAGCCACCAATTGTGCAAGTTCTCCCACTTAAAAAGATGAGAGGCCTGTAATTTTCATCATAGGTACACGTCAACTATGACAGACAAAATGAGAAAAAAAAATCCTGAAAAAAAAGGGTATATAACAAAGTTTTGAGAAACTTTTGTTTTTGACCGAATACTTATTTTCCACCATAATTTGCAAATAAATTCCTTAAAAATCCTACAATGTGATTTTCTGGATTATTTTTTCTCAATTTGTCTGTCATAGTTGACGTGTACCTATGATGAAAATTACAGGCCTCTCTCATCTTTTTAAGTGGGAGAACTTGCACAATTGGTGGCTGACTAAATACTTTTTTTCCCCACTGTAGGACCAGACTACGAGGACTCTGGAACACGTTAACGGCCTCTAGGCCTGAGAGAGAGAGAGAGGGGGACGTGTGTGAGCTTTCCACTGATTAAGAGAACACAATATTTCAACACTTCCCCTTAATGACCGTGATCTGCATCATACTGTGAATTACACTCTATTCCGTAGAGGCCCTGGTAACAAAATGGTGCACTATCAAGGGAATATGCTTCCATTTGGGCAGCAGACGAATACTTTAAAACTTCACGTTCAGGATCTCTATCGCCCTTACGGATTAGTGTTATGTTATCTAATGGAGGGTTGAACTAGACTAGTGTTATAGTATAGACGTCTGGGGACCCTGAGGAGAGGATTGAGAACCAGTTATCTAATGGGGGGTTTAATTTACACTTCCATTGAAGCAACAAGAGGAAGAGAAGGGTGGGCGACCAACTGGCTGGTTCCAGAACAAATGATTTGAGCGGAAACTACAGGTGTCACCACGTTCTAAAAACCCCATCTCCAAGTCACACTAAGGTGGGTGTTCACAGTCTCAGGTTTAGCCTGACCTCTAGTGGTTATGAGTGGTACGGCCTATTTGCTTACTGCCTATGCTTACTATGGAGAACATTGAGTTCTTTGGGAAGATCTCATTGAGTACTCCTCACATCCTCTCCACCTCAAAACCCATTGGATGAGAAAGCCAAAGATCCCGCCCCGATGACCTTCTCCTCCAATGGGTTTTGAGAAAGGGGACGTGAGGCGTATGCAATTTAGATCTTCCCTTTGTACCCTCTGGCTCAGTTTCTGTCGTCATGTGACTTCCTCATTACGGACTGCTAGGGATCCCTCCAGTTGGCACCGAGTGACATCAGAGTGACATCATGTTGGCTCTGCTGATCCTGTCTCTTAGGTAACGTGCCAAACACACCCGACACGTATTCTCTGTTTACTTTTCTTCTCCGACTGTTTACTGATACGTCAATATTTCCTGATTTTTTTTTACATGCATAAAAAAAAACAATTATTTACACGTATAAAAACATTTTAGCTGATTGTTATAAATCCAAATGTTGGTTCATCTTTTCTAGGAATAAATAAGAAACATATTTTCTGACTCTCACTCCCACTGCCGAAAGTAATCTCTCTCACTCCCAAAACTATCCTTTCCTGAAACTATCCTCTCCTGAAACTATCCTCTCTCACTCCCAAAACTATCCTCTCCTGAAACTATCCTCTCCCACTCCTGAAACTATCCTCTCCCACTCCCAAAACTATCCTCCCCTGAAACGATCCTCTCCCACTCCTGAAACTATCCTCTCCCACTCCTGAAACTATCCTCTCCCACTCCTGAAACTATCCTCTCCCACTCCTGAAACTATCCTCTCCCACTCCTGAGACTATCCTCTCCCACTCCTGAAACTATCCTCTCTCACTCCTGAAACTATCCTCTCCCACTCCCAAAACTATCCTCTCCTGAAACTATCCTCTCCCACTCCTGAAACTATCCTCTCCCACTCCTGAAACTATCCTCTCCCACTCCTGAAACTATCCTCTCCCACTCCTGAAACTATCCTCTCCCACTCCTGAAACTATCCTCTCCCACTCCTGAAACTATCCTCTCCCACTCCTGAAACTATCCTCTCTCTCTCTCTCACTCCTACTCCTGAAACTATCCTCTCCCACTCCTGAAACTATCCTCTCTCTCTCACTCCTACTCCTGAAACTATCCTCTCCCACTCCTGAAACTATCCTCTCCCACTCCTGAAACTATCCTCTCTCTCTCTCTCACTATCCTTAGCGGAAAACAGAAAACTAAATAATTGCATCCAGTTCTGACATGTTAAGATAAATTGCACAAAAAAGCTTATTTCATTAGATCCCACAGTGGTGCAAATCCTCCACCACAGTGCCAAGGAGATAGATACAGTGCCTTCAGAAAGTATTCACACCCCTTGACTTTTCTTACATTTTGTTGTGTTACAGCCTGAATTTAAAATTTATTAAATAGAGATTGTGTCATTGATCTACACATACAATACCCCATAATGTCAAAGTGGATTAAGAAAAAATGGGGGAAATTATTTCATTTGAAGTCGAAATGTCTTGAGTCAATATGTCTATGAGTCAACCCCTTTGTTATTGCACCCTAAATAAGTTCACCAAACGCATAATAAGTTGCATGGACTAATTCCGTGTTCAATAATATTGTTTAACATGATTATTAAATGGCTACCTCATCTCTGTACCCCACAAATACAATAATATGTAAGGTCCCTCAATCGAGTAGTGAATTTCAAGCAAAGATTCAACCACAAAGACCAGGGAGGTTTTTCAACGCCTCGCAAAAATAAGGGCACCGATGGGTAGATGGGTAAATAGCAGACATTGAATATCCCTTTGAGCGTGGTGAAGTTATTAATTAAGCTTTGGTGCATCAATACACCCAGTCACTACAAAGATACAGGCGTCCTTCCTAACTCAGTTGCTAAAGAGGAAGGAAACCGATCAGGGATTTCACCATGAGGCCAACTTTAAAACAGTTACAGAGTTAAATGTTTGTGATAGGAGAAAACTGAGGATGGATCAACAACATTGTAGTTACTCCACAATACTAACCTAAATGACAGAGTGAAAAGAAGGAAGCCTGTACAGAATAAAAATATTCCAAAACATGCATCCTGTTTGCAATAAGGCACTTAAGTAATACTGCAAAAAATGTGGCAAAGAAATGAACCTTTTGTCCTGAATACAAAGCGTTATGTTTGGGGCAAATCCAACACAACACATTACTGAGTACCACTCTTCATATTTTCAAGCATGGTGGTAAAAAAAATTTGAGCTAAGCACAGGCAAAAGTCCTAGAGGAAAACCTGGTTCAGTCTGCTTTCCAACAGACACCGGGAGACTAATTCACCTTTCAGCAGGACAATAACCTAAAACACAAGGCCAAGTCTACACTGGAGTTGCTTACCAAGACGACATTGAATGTTCCTGAGTGGCCTAGTTACAGTTTTGACTTAAATCTGCTTGAAAATCTATGGCAAGACTTAAAAATGGCTGTCTAGCAATGATCAACAATCAACTTGACAGAACTTTAATATTTTTTTTTAAGAATAAATGGCAAAATATTGTACAATCCAGGTGTGCAAAGCTCTTAGAGACTTACCCAGAAAGACTCACAGCTGTAATCGCCGCCAAAAGGTGCTTCTACAAAGTATTGAGATATTTTATGGGGGTGGTAGATGGGGGTTGGGGAAAGGTAATAGGCCCATGTCCAAGAGTCTCAACACCCTAGTGAGTGAGAGGTGTCAGAGTGATCAGTCAGAGAAATACAGAGACTTGAAGCCAGAGGGGGAAAAAAACTGGCCCTGTACAGCAGTACTGTAGCATTAGTCTTCATTTCCCCAGACCAATCTTCTTGGCCTCCGTTTCGTAGATCAACAGCCTCCACATTTTAACTATGAACACCTCTGCCTCCTCGTCCAGAACCTGCAGGTCGACACATCAGTTAGTTAGTGGTCTGTCTCTCACACGTTGTTGTACTACTTTTTATGACGCTGTTGACGAGAACAAACTTAGACTTATAACTAACTCAAATGTAGGCTTACATTTAATCATTGTAAATAAGAATTTGTTCTTAATTGCCTTGCCTAGTTAAATAAAAGGTTAAATAAAATAAAATAAAAAAATAAAATAAAACATGATCTGCAAACTGGTTAAGCCTGTAAGATTGTTCCTATGGCCATGTTTAATCATGATCTATTATATAACTCACCATAGCAACATCATCCAAGATCCCCTGCGGTGTGCCGTGAGACATCACCTGAGGAGAGAGAACAAGCTGGTAAAACACCGTGAAAGACCTCAACACTCTGCCTACCGCGGGGAATAAGTCACACCCAGAGACAACGGGTCCTCAATACAGTGTCCCGTCATTATCTCCATGGTCCAATGTGAAGAACAGAATACTACAGTGGAAACTTAGTTACATGCTTATGACATGTCTTACGATGCATTATAAAACGCAAGCTTTAAGTTAGAGTAGGACATATTGGTACCATTGACAAACATACACTGAGTGTACAAAACATTAGGAACACCTGCTCTTTCCATGACACAGACTGACCAGGTGAATCCAGGTGAAAGCTATGATCCCTTATTGATGTCACTTGTTAAATCCACTTCAAAATCAGTGTAGATGAAGGGGAGGGGACAGGTTAAAGAAGGAGTTTTAAGCCTTGAGACATGGATTGTGTATGTGTGCCATTCAGAGGGTGAATGGGCAAGACAAAAAATGTAAGTGCCTTTGAACAGGGTTTGGTAGTAGGTGCCAGGCGCACCGGTTTGTGTCAAGAACTGCAACGCTGCTGGGTTTTTCCACGCTCAACAGTTTCCCGTGTGTATCAAGAATGGTCCACCGCCCAAAGGACATCCAGCCAACTTGACACAACCGTGGGAAGCATTGGAGTCAACATGGTGCCAGCATCCCTGTGGAACGCGTTCGACACCTTGTAGAGTCCACGCCCCGACGTAAGGTGTTCCTAATGTTTTGTGCACTCAGTGTATAGCTACATTGGATTTGTGCCACAAATGCTAAAAAGTTAGTGTTTGAAACAGTGACCAGGTAAACTAAACGAAAAACATGCGTCGCTGTCATACCTTGTCTATAGACTTCTTACAGGGGAAGGAAACCAATGTCATCCTTCCACAAGACAGTCATGCTTTTCTCTCCCACTAAATCAGTTACTCTAACTAACTAACTAACTAACTAACTAACTAACTAACTAACCTTAGAACAGACAAAGTCGACTAGCGTAGCTTCCTCCTCTCCGATGTACTCTATGATCTTCTTGTTGATCCAGGGCCTGATGCGACGCTCCATCAGAGTCTGAGACGGGAAGAACGAGAGTTTCAGACATGCTGTGATGTTATCAGAGAATGGCTAGTTCTTCCACACAGCTTTCAATTTCCAGTTGACCAAATGTGTTAAGAGTAGATGACGTTGATTTTTAATCCCAGCTGTCCACAGAGGACCAGGACCCATGGGACTGCAGGAATTCAACCCATTCCTTAGCGTTGCCATCGCCACGTTCCTTCCAACTGACCCACACATTTTACATTTGAGTCATTTAGCAGACGCTCTTATCCAGAGCGACTTACAGTTAGTGAGTGGATACATATATATATATTTTTTTTTTTTTTTCATACTGGCCCCCCGTGGGAAACCAACCCACATCCCTGCCGGCCAAACCCTCCCCTACCCTGGACGACGCTGGACCAATTGTGCGCCGCCCCATGGGTCTCCCGGTCGCGGCCGGCTGCGACAGAGCCTGGACTCGAACCAGGATCTCTAGTGGCACAGCTAGCACTGCGATGCAGGGCCTTAGACCACTGCGCCACTCGGGAGGTTCCACACAAGGGCTATGGGCCACCTCCTCATCCCCCTTACCGAGTCCACAGCGGTCTGACCCTTTTTAAATCAAGTACATTATGTTGATGTAAATCCCAGTGATCTACCCATAAGACCAGGTCCTACGGTCCCTCCACTGCCCCCTCCTCGTCCTCCTTACCGAGTCCACGGCGGTCTGACCCTTTTTAAATCAAGTACATTATGTTGATGTAAATCCCAGTGATCTACCCATAAGACCAGGTCCTACGGTCCCTCCACTGCCCCCTCCTCGTCCTCCTTACCGAGTCCACGGCGGTCTGACCCTTTTTAAATCAAGTACATTATGTTGATGTAAATCCCAGTGATCTACCCATAAGACCAGGTCCTACGGTCCCTCCACTGCCCCCTCCTCGTCCTCCTTACCGAGTCCACGGCGATCTGACCCTTTTTAAATCAAGTACATTATGTTGATGTAAATCCCAGTGATCTACCCATAAGACCAGGTCCTACGGTCCCTCCACTGCCCCTCCTCGTCCCCCTTACCGAGTCCACGGCGATCTGACCCTTTTTAAATCAAGTACATTATGTTGATGTAAATCCCAGTGATCTACCCATAAGACCAGGTCCTACGGTCCCTCCACTGCCCCCTCCTCGTCCTCCTTACCGAGTCCACGGCGATCTGACCCTTTTTAAATCAAGTACATTATGTTGATGTAAATCCCAGTGATCTACCCATAAGACCAGGTCCTACGGTCCCTCCACTGCCCCTCCTCGTCCCCCTTACCGAGTCCACGGCGATCTGACCCTTTTTAAATCAAGTACATTATGTTGATGTAAATCCCAGTAATCTACCCATAAGACCAGGTCCTACGGGTCCCTCCACTGCCCCCTCCTCGTCCTCCTTACCGAGTCCACGGCGGTCCAGTCCAGAGGGTAGTTGAACAGATCAGGTCTGGCCGTAGGGATCTTCTCAATGAGACTCCTGATGTGTTTCCGTTTCTCCTCTCCTTTCCCTCCGGGTCCCTCCGCCCCGTCCAGACCCAGACCCTTATCCTCCTCACCGTAGTCCAGCGGAACCAGCTTACGTTTACGGGGAGCCTCGTCGGCCTCCTCCTCTCCAAACATGTTGAAGACGCTGTCGGCGTTGGCGAGTTTCTTACGTTTACTCCCAGTGTGGATCTGGTGGTTGGGGCTGGCGCCAGCGCCTGGGGAAGGAGAGAGATGGAATGAAACGGGGTTATAGGGGGGAAGGAGAGAGAGAGATGGAATGAAACAGTGGGTTATAGCGGGGAAGGAGAGAGAGAGATGGAATGAAACGGGGTTATAGTGGGGAAGGAGAGAGAGAGAGATGGAATGAAACAGTGGGTTATAGTGGGGGAAGGAGAGAGAGAGATGGAATGAAACAGTGGGTTATAGTGGGGAAGGAGAGAGAGAGATGGAATGAAACAGGGTTATAGTGGGGAAGGAGAGAGAGAGATGGAATGAAACGGGGTTATAGTGGGGAAGGAGAGAGAGAGAGATGGAATGAAACAGTGGGTTATAGTGGGGAAGGAGAGAGAGAGATGGAATGAAACAGTGGGTTATAGTGGGGAAGGAGAGAGAGAGATGGAATGAAACAGGGTTATAGTGGGGAAGGAGAGAGAGATGGAATGAAACAGTGGGTTATAGTGGGGAAGGAGAGAGAGAGATGGAATGAAACAGGGTTATAGTGGGGAAGGAGAGAGAGAGATGGAATGAAACAGTGGGTTATAGTGGGGAAGGAGAGAGAGAGATGGAATGAAACAGGGTTATAGTGGGGAAGGAGAGAGAGAGATGAATGAAACGGGGGTTTAATAGTGGGGAAGGAGAGAGAGAGATGGAATGAAACAGTGGGTTATAGCGGGGAAGGAGAGAGAGAGATGGAATGAACGGGGTTATAGTGGGGAAGAGAGAGAGAGAGATGGAATGAACAGGGTTATAGTGGGGAAGGAGAGAGAGAGATGGAATGAAACAGGGTTATAGTGGGGAAGGGAGAGATGAATGAAACAGGTTATATGGGGAAGGAGAGAGAGAATGGAATGAAACAGGGTTATAGTGGGGAAGGAAGAGAGAGATGGAATGAAACAGGGGTTATAGGGGGGAAGGAGAGAGAGAGATGGAATGAAACGGGTTATAGTGGGAAGGAGAGAGAGAGATGGAATGAAACAGTGGGGTTATAGTGGGGAAGGAGAGAGAGAGATGGAATGAAACAGTGGGTTATAGTGGGGAAGAGAGAGAGAGATGGAATGAAACAGGGTTTAGTGGGGGAAGGAGAGAGAGAGATGGAATGAACAGGGTTATAGTGGGGAAGGAGAGAGAGAGATGGAAGAAAACAGCGTTATAGTGGGGAAGGAGAGAGAGAGATGGAATGAAACAGTGGGTTATAGTGGGGAAGGAGAGAGAGAGATGGAATGAAACAGGGTTTATAGTGGGAAAGGAGAGAGAGAGATGGAATGAAACGGGGTTATAGTGGGGAAGGAGGAGAGAGAGATGGAATGAAACAGGGTTTATAGTGGGAAGGAGAAGAGGTTTATGGGGAAGGAGAGAGATGGAATGAAACGGGGTTATAGTGGGGAAGAGAAGAGAGAGATGGAATGAAACAGTGGGTTATAGTGGGGAAGAGAGAGAGAGATGGAATAACAGTGGGTTATAGTGGGGAAGGAGAGAGGAGATGGAATGAAACAGGGTTTATAGTGGGAAGGAGAGAGAGAGAGATGGAATGAAACAGGGTATAGTGGGGAAGGAGAGAGAGATGGAATGAAACAGGGTTATAGTGGGGAAGGAGAGAGAGAGATGGAATGAAACAGGGGTTATAGTGGGGAAGGAGAGAGAGAGATGGAATGAAACAGGGTTATAGTGGGGAAGGAGAGAGAGAGTATAGTGGGGAAGGAGAGAGAGGATGGAATGAAACGGGGGTTATAGTGGGGAAGGAGAGAGGAGAATGGAATGAAACAGGGTTATAGTGGGGAAGTGAGAGAGAGAGATGGAATGAAACAGGGTTATAGTGGGGAAGGAGAGGAGAGATATGGAGGAAGAGAAGGGTAAGGTTATAGTGGGGAAGGAGAGAGAGAGATGGAATGAAACAGTGGGTTATAGTGGGGAAGGGGAGAGAGAGATGGAATGAAACAGTGGGTTATAGTGGGGAGAGAGAGAGAGATGAATGAAACAGGGTTATAGTGGGGAAGGAGAGAGAGAGATGGAATGAAACGGGTTATAGTGGGGAAGGAGAGAGAGAGATGGAATGAAACAGGGGTTATAGTGGGGAAGGAGAGAGAGAGATGGAATGAAACAGTGGGTTATAGTGGGGAAGAGAGAGAGAGATGGAATGAAACAGGGTTATAGTGGGGAAGGAGAGAGAGAGATGGAATGAAACGGGGTTATAGTGGGGAGGAGAAGAGAGATGGAATGAAACAGGGTTTATGGGGAAGGAGAGAGAGAGATGGAATGAAACAGTGGGTTATAGTGGGGAAGGAGAGGAGATGGAAAGGGAGTGAGAGATGAAAAACAGGGTTATAGTGGGGAAGGAGAGAGAGAGATGGAATGAAACAGGGTTATAGTGGGGAAGGAGAGAGAGATGGAATGAAACAAGGTTATAGTGGGGAAGGAGAGAGAGAGATGGAATGAAACAGGGTTATAGTGGGGAAGGGAGAGAGAGATGGAATGAACAGGGTTATAGTGGGGAAGGAGAGAGAGATGGAATGAAACGGGGTTATAGTGGGGAAGGAGAGAGAGATGGAATGAAACAGGGTTATAGTGGGGAAGGAGAGAGAGAGATGGAATGAAACAGGGTTATAGTGGGGAAGGAGAGAGAGATGGAATGAGAACATGGTTATAGTGGGGAAGGAGAGAGAGAGATGGAATGAAACAGGGTTATAAGTGGGGAAGGAGAGAGAGAATGGAATGAAACAGGGGTTATAGTGGGGAAGGAGAGAGAGAGATGGAATGAAACAGGGTTATAGTGGGGAAGGAGGAGAGAGAGATGGATGATGAAACAGGGTTATAGTGGGGAGGAGAGAGAGAATGGAATGAAACGGGTTATAGTGGGGAAGGAGAGAGAGATGGAATGAAACAGGGTTATAGTGGGGAAGGAGAGAGAGAGATGGAATGAAACGGGGTTATAGTGGGGAAGGAGAGGATAGAGATGAGAGATGGATGAACAGGGTTATAGTGGGGAAGGAGAGAAGAGATGGAATGAAACGGGGTTATAGTGGGAAGGAGAGAGATGATGGAATGAAACAGGGGTTATAGTGGGGGAAGAGAGAGAGAGATGGAATGAACAGGGTTATAGTGGGAAGGAGAGAGAGGTATGGAAGAAACAGGGTTATAGTGGGAAGGAGAGAGGTTATAGTGGGGGAAGAGAGAGCATGGATGAAACGGGTTATAGTGGGGAAGGAAGAGAGATGGAATGAAACATGGGGTTTTAGTGGGGAAGGAGAGAGAGATGGAATGAAACAGGTTATAGTGGGGAAGGAGAGAGAGAGATGGAATGAAACAGGGTTTATAGTGGGGGAAGGAGAGGAGATGAATGAACATGTTATAGTGGGGAAGGAGAAGAGTATGGAATGAAACGGGGTTATAGTGGGGGAAGGAGAGAGAGATGGAATGAAACAGGGTTATAGTGGAGGAAAGGTTAGAGGAGAGAGAGATGGAATGAAACAATGTTATAGTGGGGAAGGAGAGAGAGAGATGGAATGAAACGGGGTTATAGTGGGGAAGGAGAGAGAGATGGAATGAAACAGGGTTATAGTGGGGAAGGAGAGAGAGAGATGGAATGAAACAGGGTTATAGTGGGGAAGGAGAGAGGAGAGATGGAATGAAACAGGGTTATAGTGGGGAAGGAGAGAGAGAGATGGAATGAAACAGGGTTATAGTGGGGAAGGAGAGAGAGAGATGGAATGAAACAGGGTTATAGTGGGGAAGGAGAGAGAGAGATGGAATGAACGAGGGTTATAGGGGGAAGGAGAGAGAGATGGATGAAACGGGGTTATAGGGGGGAAGGAGGAGAGAGATGGAATGAAACGGGTTATAGGGGGGAAGGAGAGGAGAGATGGAATGAAACAGGGTTTAGTGGGGAAGGAGGAGAGAGAGATGGAATGAAACAGGGTTATAGTGGGGAAGGAGATGAGAGAGATGGAATGAAACAGGGTTATAGTGGGGAAGGAGAGAGAGAGATGGAATGAACAGTGGATATAGTGGGGAAGGAGAGAGAGAGATGGAATGAACGAGGTTATAGTGGGGAAGGAGAGAGAGATGGAATGAAACGGGTTATAGTGGGGAAGGAGAAGAGAGATGGAAATGAACAGGGTTATAGTGGGGAAGGAGAGAGGAGATGGAATGAAACAGGGTTATAGTGGGGAAGGAGAGAGAGAGATGGAATGAAACAGGGTTATAGTGGGGAAAGGAGAGAGAGATGGAATGAAAACGGGTTAAGTGGGGAAGGAGAGAGAGAGATGGAATGAAACAGGGTTATAGTGGGGAAGGAGAGAGAGATGGAATGAAACAGTGTTATAGTGGGGAAGGAGAGAGAGAGATGGAATGAAACGGGGTTATAGTGGGGAAGGAGAGAGAGATGGAATGAAAACAGGTTATGTGGGGAAGGGAGAGAGTTATAGTGGGAGAGGAATGAATACAGGGTTTATAGTGGGGAAGGAGAGAGAGAGATGGAATGAACAGGGTTATAGTGGGGAAGGAGAGAGAGATGAATGAAATGGGGTTTATAGTGGGGAAGGAGAGAGAGATGGAATGAAACAGGGTTATAGTGGGGAAGGAGAGAGAGATGGAATGAAACAAGGGTTATGTGGGGAAGGGAGGGATGGGGAGGAGAGAGAATGAATAAACGGGGTTTATAGTGGGGAAGGAGAGAGAGATGGAATGAAACAGGGTTATAGTGGGGAAGGAGAGAGAGGTTATAGTGGGGAAGGAGAGAGAGATGGAATGAAACAGGTTATAGTGGGGAAGGAGAGAGAGAGATGGAATGAAACAGGGTTATAGTGGGGAAGGAGAGAGAGATGGAATGAAACTAGGGTTATAGTGGGAAGGAGAGAGGATGGAATGAAACGGGTTATAGTGGGGAAGGAGAGAGAGATGGATGGGGTATGTAAACAGGGTTATAGTGGGGAAGGAGAGAGAGGTTTAGTGGGGAAGGAGAGAGAGATGGAATGAAACGGGGTTATAGTGGGGAAGGAGAGAGAGAGATGGAATGAAACAGGGTTATAGTGGGGAAGGAGAGAGAGAGATGGAATGAAACAGGGTTATAGTGGGGGAAGGAGAGAGAGAGATGGAATGAAACAGGGTTATAGTGGGGAAGGAGAGAGAGAGATGGAATGAAACAGGGTTATAGTGGGGAAGGAGAGAGAGAGATGTGAATTAAACAGGGGTTTTAGTGGGGAAGGAGAGAGAGAGATGGAATGAAAACGGGTTATAGTGGGGAAGGAGAGAGAGATGGAATGAAACGGGTTATAGTGGGGAAGGAGAGAGATGGATGAAACGGGTTATAGGGGGAAGGAGAGAGAGATGGAATGAAACAGGTTATAGTGGGGAAGGAGAGAGAGAGTGAATGAAACAGGGTTATAGTGGGGAAGGAGAGAGAGAGATGGAATGAAACAGTGGTTATAGTGGGGAAGGAGAAGAGAGATGGAGGATGAAAACAGGTGTGGATTATAGTGGGGAAGGGGAGAGAGAGAGAGATGGAATGAAACGAGGTTATAGTGGGGGAAGGGAGAGAGGATGGAATGAAACGTGGGGTTATAGTGGGGAAGGAGAAAGAGAGATGGAATGAAACAGGGTTATAGTGGGGAAGGAGAGAGGAGAGATGGAATGAAACAGGGTTCTAGTGGGGAAGGAGAGAGAGAGATGGAATGAAACGGGGTTATAGTGGGGAAGGAGAGAGAGATGGAATGAAACGGGGTTAGAGTGGGGAAGGAGAGAGAGAGATGGAATGAAACAGGGTTATAGTGGGGAGGAAGGAGAGAGAGAGGATGAAAACAACTGTTATAGTGGGGAAGGAGGAGAGGAGAGATGGAATGAACGGGGTTATAGTGGGGAAGGAGAGAGAGATGGAATGAAACAGGGTTATAGTGGGGAAGGAGAGAGAGGTTATAGTGGGGAAGGAGAGAGAGAGATGGAATGAAACAGGGTTATAGTGGGGAAGGAGAGAGAGAGATGGAATGAAACAGGGTTATAGTGGGGAAGGAGAAAGAGAGATGGAATGAAACTGTGGGTTATAGTGGGGAAGGAGAGAGACCAATAGGAGGTGTATAATCAGGAAGTGTGAAACAGTGGGTTATAGAGAATGAAGGTACAAAGCTAGAGGGTTACATGCAGACTAGACCGGGCGCGGGCATGCTGATTTTGTCCACCCACACCAGACGAGACTAGACCGGGAGCGGGCATGCTGATTTTGTCCACCCACACCAGACGAGACTAGACCGGGCGCGGGCATGCTGATTTTGTCCACCCACACCAGACGAGATCAGAACACGCAGGTTGAAATATCAAAATGAACTCTGAACCAACTATATAAATTTGGGGACAGGTCGAAAAGCATTAAACATTTATGGCAATTTAGCTAGCTAGCTTGCTGTTGCTAACTAATTTGTCCTGGGATATAAACATTGGGTTGTTTTTTTTTTTAACCTGAAATGCACACGGTCCTCTACTCTGACAATTAATCCACAGATAAAAGGGTAAACCGAGCGAGTTTCTAGTATTTTCTCCTCCTTCAGGCTTCTTCTTCTTCTCTGGACTTTATATGGCGGTTGGCTATCAACTTTAAGAGGCATTACCACCACCTACTGGACTGGAGGGTGGACAGTTCATCTTTCAATCACCCGCGTGGGTGGATGCTCTTAAAACCCAATGAGGAGATAGATGGGAGAGGCGGGACTTGCAGCGCGTCAAGCGTCACAAATAGAACCAAGTTATATTTTAGCACCTGGCCACGCAGACGCTCGTTGACGCGCGCGAGCAGTTTGGATGCAATGATTGAATAACGTGTATGTGTACATTTATTTCACAACGCGAGCGGTGTGGTCAGCATGTTAGGCTGAGAGACAGTGATGATGACTTAACTAGTAACTTTCAAAAAGTTCAGTATCCTTCAACATACAGATGTGAAATGTTCAACATATAGCTAGACATACAACGCTAACTCACCAGTTTGAGGCCGAGGCCCATCTAGTTCAATCTAGTTCAATCTAGTTCTAACTCACCCAGTTTGAGACTGAGGCCCATCTTGGGCCGCTGTTCCTCGGTGGGCGGGGCTTCAGGAGAGTTTTCATGAGGGATGATGATACCGCAGGGAGACTCGTTGCCAGGGGAGTTGGGCGTGGCGCCGCCGCTGCCCGACGACACCGAGGGGGCCGACGTGATTGGCCGCAGCGTGGGCTTCAGGTTTGGGTTTGGCCTGGCATCTGACGAGTCCTCCCAGTCACGATCATCAAGCTCCTCCCCCTCCTCCAGGTCGTCGTCTGATTGGGGCTGAGGGTGCTGGGGAGAAGGCCTGTCTGCTCCTCCTCCTCCTCTCCTGTCCCTGCGGTGCTCCCTCTCTCGGTGCTCCCTCTCCCTGTGTGGTTTCTCCTGCTGCACCTCCTCCTCTGGGTCCGGCTTGACCGGGGGCTGCCTCCTCCGCTCTGCCTCCTCCTCCATCTTGGTTTCAAATCAAATCAAATGTATTTAAAGTGCATTTATACAAAGTCTCAACACACTTAAAAGAGAAAAAAAGATGAATGTGTTGATTCATGTGTATTGTTGATTCATGTGCATTGATGATTCATGTGCATTGTCCCTATTTGACAGGTACAATGCACATTGATCAACATTTCTAATTTCTGTTAATGTGCCAGTTAGCCAGCTGACAAAGACAGCAGGGTTGTGTTTAATAGGGAGGAAATGGTTGGAAAGACAGCAGGGTTGTGTTTAATAGGGAGGAAATGGTTGGAAAGACAGCAGGGTTGTGTTTAATAGGGAGGAAATGGTTGGAAAGACAGCAGGGTTGTGTTTAATAGGGAGGAAATGGTTGGAAACTGAGAGGTACAACCTGAACTTGTCCAATAACAACACAGAGTTGACAGACAGCAATACAGCCAGACAGACAGCCAGCCAGCCAGCCACAGCCAGCCAGCCAGACACAGCCAGCCAGCCAGCCACAGCCAGCCAGCCAGCCACAGACAGCCAGCCAGCCACAGACAGCCAGCCAGCCAGCCACAGCCAGCCAGACAGCCAGCCAGCCAGCCACAGCCAGCCAGCCAGCCAGCCAGCCAGCCACAGCCAGCCAGACAGCCAGACATACCCTCTGCAGCTCGGCCTCAGGGTCTGGGTGTCCCTCAGCTAACAGTCTCTGTCTGATCTGATCGTGCTCCTCCTTCTCCCTCTTCCTGTCTCTCTCATCCAGATCTGTCTCCTTCTCACGGTCTCTCAGGCGCTTCTGTAAAGCACTACCCCTGGAGAGAGAGAGACAGACCAGTCAGTCATACAGCTTAAAGGGATATTTCAGGATTTTGGCGTTGATTTTGGCCCTACTTCCCCAGGGTCAGATGAACTCGTGGACACCATTTTTATGTCTCTGCCTGCAGTTTGAAGGTAGTTGCTAACTAGCGTTAGCGCAATGACTGAAGGTCTATGGTAACTGCTAGCATGCTAGTATATACCATAGACTTCCAGTCATTGCGCCAACGCTGGTAGGCATTTGGCTCGTGAAACTAACTCCAACTTCCTTCATGCTGGATGCAGAGACATAAAAATGGTGTCCACCAGTTCATCTGACACTGGGGAAGTAGATAAACGGCCACAATCCTGAAGTATCCCACTAAATAGTTCAACAAGGTTTGTGTGTGTGTGTGTGTGTGTGTGTGTGTGTGTGTGTGTGTGTGTGTGTGTGTGTATATATATATATATGTGTGTGTGCGTGTGTGTGCGCGTGTGTGTGCGTGTGTATATGTGTGTATGTGTATATATATATATATATATACAGTGAGCTCCATAATTCATTGGACAGTGACAATTTTTTTGTTATTTTGGTTCTGTACTCTAGCACTTTGAGTTTGAAAGGATACAATGACAATGAGGGTGAAGTGCAGACTGTCAGCTTTAATTTGAGGGTATTTTCATACATATCGGATGAACCGTTTACGAATTATAGAAGCTTTTGTACATGGTCCCCCCCATTTTCGGGCATCAAAAATCATTGGACAGTTTAACATAATGTAGAATAAAGTAATCATTGTTAATATTTGGTCGCATATCCTTTGCATGCAATGACTGCTTGAAGTCTGTGATGCATTGACATCACCAGACGCTGGGTATCTTCCCTGGTGATGCTCTGCCAGGCCTGTACTGCAGCCATCTTCAGTTCCTGCTTATTTTGGGGACTTATTGCCTTAAGTCTCCTCTTCAGCATGTAAAATGCATGTTCAATTGGATTCAGATCCGGTGATTGACTCGGCCAGTCAAGGATTTTCCACTTTTTGGCCATCAAAAACCCCTTTGTTGCTCTAGCAGTATGTTTAGGGTCATTGTCTTGTTGCATGATGAAGTGCCGTCCAATGAGTTTGGAGGCATTTGGTTTTATCTGAGCAGATAAAATATTTCTATAGACTTCAGAATTCATTGTTCTACTTCTGTCTGCAGTCACATCATCGATGAAGACAAGTGAGCCTATTCCACTGGCAGCCATACAGGCCCAAGCCATAACACCCCCTCCACCATGTTTCACGGATGAGGTGGTATGCTTTGGATCATGGGCATTTCTTTTTTTTCTCCACACTTTCCTCTTTCCATCACTCTGGTACATGTTAATCTTTGTCTCATCTGTCCACAATACTTTTTTCCAGAACTCTTGGGGCTCTTTTAGGTGCTTTTTAGGCAAACTGTAATCTCGCCTTTCTGTTCTTCAGGCTTATCAGTGGTTTGCATCTTGTAGTGTACCCTCTGTAGTCCTGCTGGTGTAGTCTTCTACGTATGGTAGACTTTGACACATCTACACCTGCATCCAGGAGAGTGTTTTTGATCTGTTGGGCTGTTGTCAGGGGGGTTTTCTTCACCATAGAGAGTATTCTCCTCCGGTCATCCACTACAGTGGTCTTCCTCGGTCTACCGGGTCTTTTGACATAATTGAGTTCACCGGTTGTTTTTTCTTGTTAATGATGAACCAAACTGTTGACTTGGGCATGGCCAGGGTTTTTGCAATGTTCCTGATTGATTGATTTTCATTTCTGAGCCTTATGACGGCCAGCTTCATTTGCATCGACCCGGCTGTCTTCCTCATGTTGTCACACCCCAACAACAACCTCCAAAGGCAATAGCAAAGTCTAGAATCAATGCTATTCATCAACAGCTCTCCTGCATTCACTAACGACACAAATGAATACACCTGCCTAACGACACACATCTGTGAAGCCAATTTAACAAATACTTGTAGTACCTTAAAATGGGGGGACCATGTACAAAAGGTGCTGTCATTTCTAAACGGTTCATCCGATATGTATGAAAATACCCTCAAATTAAAGCTGACAGTCTGCACTTCACCCTCATTGTCATTGTATCCTTTCAAACTCAAAGTGCTAGAGTACAGAACCAAAATAACAAAAAAAATGTCACTGTCCAATGAATTATGGAGCTCACTGTATATGTGTGTGTGTGCGTGTGTGTGCGTGTGCGCGTGTGTGCATGCGCAGGCTTGTATTACTATGCTGGTGGGTACTGGAAATCCCTTAAAGTCCTTACCAGGATAGTAAAACAAGGAAAATGTTAAGGTCAGGGGTTAGGTCAGGGGTTAAGGTCAGGGGTTAAGGTCAGGGGTTAAGGTCAGGGGTTAAGGTCACCTGTAGTATTTCAGATCGTCGCGGTCGTCGTCATAGTCCTCCAGGAACTCTTTCAGACGCTTGCCTTCTTTAGTCTGGAGGAGGAGGAACAACACAGGATTACATTACTCCTGATCTCAGAAACACACAACTCAACTCTCTAGTAATTGAGTCAGATGCTCGATTCAGTTCTGGGGTGAAACGTGTTAGAAAAGATACTCCATAGTTGTCTAATCCCAGTCGGTTGACAGACGCTACAATACCAGTTATTTTACGTGCATCTGTCCACGAGAGATAACATTCCTCCATGTATCCAGAGTCCTCCACTCCTCTCCTAAATACTCTCTACTCCTCCCTCCCTAGAAACTATCGCTAACAACCTCCCTCCCTAGAATACTCTCTACTCCTGCCTCCCTATAATACTCTCCCCTCCCTAGAATACTCTCCACTCCTCCCTCCCTAGAATATACTCTTCTACTCCTCCCTCCCTAGAATCTCTCTACTCTCCTCCCTCCCTATAATTACTCTCTACCCTCCCTCCCTAGAATACTCTCTACTCTACTCCTGCCCTCCCTAGCATCCTCTACTCCCTTCCTCCTAAATACCTTCTACTCCTCCCTCCCTAGAATACTCCTCTACTCTCTACTCTCTACTTGCCTCCTTCCTCCCTCCCTAGAAGACTCTCTACTCTACTTTCCTCCCTCCCTAGAAATACTCTCACTCCTCCCTCCCTAGAATACTCTCTACTCCTCCCTCCCTAGAATACTCTCATTCCTCCCCCCTAGAATATCTCTATACCTCCCTCCCTAGAATACTCTCACTTCCTCCCTCCCTAGAATACTCTCTACTCCCTCCCTCCCTAGAAAAACTCTCTACTCCCCTTCCCTAGAATACTCTCTACTCCCTCCCTCCCTAGAATACTCTCTACTTCCCCCTCCCTAGAATATTCTCTATCTCCCCCTCCCTAGAATACTCTCCCTCCCCCTCCCTAGAATATTCCTCTACTCCCTCCCTAGAATACTCTCTACTCCTCCCTCCCTAGAATACCTCTACTCCTCCCTCCCTAGAATACTCTCCACTCCTCCCTCCTAGAATACTCCCTAACTCCTCCCTCCCTAGAATACTCCCTAACTCCTCCCTCCCTAGAATACTCTCTACTCCTCCCTCCCTAGAATACTCTCTACTCCTCCCTCCCTAGAATACTCTCTACTCCCCCCTCCCTAGAATACTCTCACTACCCTCCCTCCCTTAGAATACTCCCTAACTCCTCCCCTCCCTAGAATACTCTCTACTCCTCCCTCCACTAGAATACTCTCTACTCCTCCCTCCCTAGAATACTCTCACTCCTCCCATCCCTAGAATACTCTACTCCTCCCTCCCTAGAATACTCTCTACTCATCCCTCCCTAGAATACCTCTCTACTCCTCCCTCCCTAGAATACTCTCTACTCCTCCCTCCCTAGAATACTCTCTACTCCTCCCTCCCTAGAATACTCTCTACTCCCTCCCTCCCTAGAATACTCTCTACTCCTCCCTCCCTAGAATACTCTCTACTCCTCCCTCCCTAGAATACTCTCTACTCATCCCTCCCTAGAATACTCTCTACTCCTCCTCCCTAGAATACTCTCTCTACTTTCCTCCCTCCCTAGAATACTCTCTACTCCTCCCTCCCTAGAATACTCTCTACTTCCTCCCTCCCTAGAATACTCTCTACTCCTCCCTCCTAGAATACTCTCTACTCCACCCCTCCCTAGAATATCTTCTACTCCTCCCATCCCTAGAATACTCTCTCCTCCCCCCCCTCCCTATAATACTCTCTACTCCTCCCTCCCTAGAATACTATCTACTCCTCCCTCCCTAGAATACTCTCTACTCCTCCCTCCCTAGAATACTCCCTACTCCCCCCTCCCTAGAATACTCTCTCCTCCCCCCTCCCTAGAATACTCTCTCCTCCCCCCTCCCTAGAATACTCTCTACTCCTCCCTCCCTAGAATACTCTCTACTCCTCCCCTCCCTAGAATACTCTCTACTCACCCACCATCCCTAGAATACTCTCTACTCCTCCCCCCTAGAATACTCTCTACTCCTCCCTCCTAGAATACTCTCCACTCCTCCCTCCCTAGAATACTCTCTACTCCTCCCTACCTAGAATACTCTCTACTACTCCCTCCCCTAGAATACTCTCTACTCCCCCCTCCCTAGAATACTCTCCACTCCTCCCTCCCTAGAATACTCTCCACTCCTCCCTCCCTAGAATACTCTCCACTCCCCCCTCCCTAGAATACTCTCTACTCCCCCCTCCCTAGAATACTCTCTACTCCTCCCTCCCTAGAATACTCTCTACTCCTCCCTCCCTAGAATACTCTCTACTCCTCCCTCCCTAGAATCCTCTCTACTCCTCCCTCCCTAGAATACTCTCTACTCCTATACGATCACATATATCTATATTATGCGTGCGAATACTTTGGAACAGATTTCCAACAAAATCAATTGGAGATGATTTGCTGGTGTTTTCAGTCTTTTGTGTCCAACAATAAAGAAATACAAATCCATTTATTGATTTTTGCTTTAAAAAACGTTGATGTCTATTACCATCTCACGGCGTTTCTCCTCCTCACGCTGGTTCTCTTTGTCGTAGTCCCGAGCCTTCTTCCTCTCTCTGATCTCCCAGTTCTTCAGACGCTGAAAGAAACAGCAACAACAACCCTGAATCAAAAACAGGCCTGATATGAACACACAGCTAGAATCCTGTTTCAGCCAATCAGCATCCGTTCATAATGTGCATGCATATAGACAGATGTTATATTGCCTATACAGGGCACCAGGGCCATTGGGGCTCTGGTCAAAAGCAGTGCGCTATACAGGGAATAGGGTGCAATTTGGGACGCACCCTAAGTGCCTTAGGCCTGAGGGAACGGCACATCAGAAAGAGTTGTCAGACTGGCTGTGTTCCACGACTGGCTGTGTTCCATGCAGTTCCATGCTATGCCACTATATTGCAGTGGTAAAGCCTAATTTACACCGTACACAAAGTACCTATCGCAAAAAAAACAATTAGCTAGGCAAAATGGCAATCCTACATACATACGATCCACACAGGATTACCATGTTGTCCGTAGCTAAATGTAGTTATTGCGTTGCGTACTTCCGTAGGGTATAAATTCGGCCCAAGCCTCGTCAACGTGGGACTACGTGTCTAACTCACTTCCTGGTAGGCAGTCTCCTTGTCTCTCATCTTCCTCTGCTGTTTCCTGCGTTCGTACGCCTCCTCCTGGTCCTCCTCACGGTCGTGCTTCTTTTCATCGCGGCTCCGTTCTCTACAGGAAGAGACACACAGAGATGTGACTTCAAACACTCACCACTTCTACAGCTGACCAGCGTTTCAGAGCAGGGGTGCAGATCTGGGATCAGTTGCCCCGTCTGTGTAATCTTATTCATTATGATCTAAAAAGGCAACACCAATCCTAGATCAGCACTCCTCTGACTACTCTGAGATTATTTATGAATACAGGCCCAGATGTCTGAATAACAGAGAGGAAGGTCATATAGCGTTAACCTCATACCAACCTGGATCTGGGTTCAGGCTGTTTCAGTGTTAACCTCATACCAACCTGGATCTGGGTTCAGGCTGTTTCAGTGTTAACCTCATACCAACCTGGATCTGGGTTCAGGCTGTTTCAGTGTTAACCTCATACCAACCTGGATCTGGGTTCAGGCTGTTTCAGTGTTAACCTCATACCAACCTGGATCTGGGTTCAGGCTGTTTCAGTGTTAACCTCATACCAACCTGGATCTGGGTTCAGGCTGTTTCAGTGTTAACCTCATACCAACCTGGATCTGGGTTCAGGCTGTTTCAGTGTTAACCTCATACCAACCTGGATCTGGGTTCAGGCTGTTTCAGTGTTAACCTCATACCAACCTGGATCTGGGTTCAGGCTGTTTCAGTGTTAACCTCATACCAACCTGGATCTGGGTTCAGGCTGTTTCAGTGTTAACCTCATACCAACCTGGATCTGGGTTCAGGCTGTTTCAGTGTTAACCTCATACCAACCTGGATCTGGGTTCAGGCTGTTTCAGTGTTAACCTCATACCAACCTGGATCAGGCTGTTTCAGTGTTAACCTCATACCAACCTGGATCTGGGTTCAGGCTGTTTCAGTGTTAACCTCATACCAACCTGGATCAGGCTGTTTCAGTGTTAACCTCATACCAACCTGGATCTGGGTTCAGGCTGTTTCAGTGTTAACCTCATACCAACCTGGATCAGGCTGTTTCAGTGTTAACCTCATACCAACCTGTACCTGGGTTCAGGCTGTTTCAGTGTTAACCTCATACCAACCTGGATCTGGGATCAGGTTGTTTCAGTGTTAACCTCATACCAACCTAGATCTGGGTTCAGGCTGTTTCAGTGTTAACCTCATACACTGAAACCTCATACTGCTGACGTGAGTAACTACAGGCCCATTAGTATACTACCTGTGGTGTCAAAGGTTGTTGAAAAGTGTGTAGCAGAACAACTGATTGCCCACCTCAACAACAGCCCCTTCACATTACATTCCATGCAGTTTGGCTTCAGAGCGAAACACTCCACAGAAATGGCCAACTGCTTTTTTCTGGAAAATGTGAAGTCCAAGATGGACAAAGGGGGCGTTGTTGGGGCTGTGTTTCTGGACCTAAGGAAGGCTTTTGATACTGTTAACCATGAGATTCTCATCACAAAATTGTCCAAGTTCAACTTTTCCCCCGATGCCTTGAGATGGATGAAATCATACCTTGAAGGCAGAACTCAGTGTGTCAGAGTGAGCAATGAGCTGTCGCCCACTCTTAGCTATGATGTGGGTGTGCCCCAAGGGTCAATACTGGGGCCCCTCCTGTTCAGCCTGTACATTAATGATCTGCCTTCTGTCTGTACTGGGTCTGAAGTTCAAATGTATGCAGATGATACAGTGATATATGTGCATGCAAAGAGCAAACAACAAGCTGCACAAGAACTCACTACTGTAATGGTCCAGGTTACAAAGTGGCTCAGTGACTCGTGTTTGCATCTCAATGTGAAAAAAACTGTTTGCATGTTCTTCACAAAGGGGGCAACAGATGCTACTGAGCCAGAAGTCTATGTGTCAGGGGAGAAGCTCCAGGGGGTATCTGATTTTAAGTACCTTGGCATCATACTTGATTCCAACCTCTCTTTTAAAAAGCATGTGAAAAAGGTAATTCAAATAACCAAATTCAACCTAGCTAATTTCCGATTTATACGAAATTGTTTGACTACAGAGGTAGCAAAACTGTACTTCAAATCTATGATAATCCCCCACTTAACATACTGCTTGACTAGTTGGGCCCAAGCTTGCTGTACAACAGTAAGACCTATTCAGTCTGTCTACAAACAGGCTCTCAAAGTGCTTGATAGGAAGCCCAATAGCCATCATCACTGTCACATCCTTAGAAAGCATGAGCTCCTGAGTTGGGAAAATCTTGTGCAATACACCGATGCATGTCTTGTATTCAAGATCCTAAATGGTTTGGCTCCCCCTCCACTCAGTATTTTTGTTAAACAGAAAACCCAAACATATGGCAGCAGATCCACAAGGTCTGCCATGAGAGGTGACTGTGTAGTTCCCCTAAGGAAAAGCACCTTTGGTAAATCTGCTTTTTCTGTGAGAGCTTCCCATGTCTGGAATACACTGCCATCAGACACACATAACTGCACCACATATCACAATTTCACAAAATGCTTGAAGACATGGCTAAAGGTCAATCAGATTTGTGAACATGGTCCCTAGCTGTGTGTTGCCGCTTTCCATGTCTGTTGTCTGTAACTTGTGAGGTGTGGAAACACTTTGTTGCTTTTATGAATTTTGTCTTGCTGCTTTTTGTTCTATGTTGCTCTGTCTGTATGCTACGTCTTGCTTGTCCTATGTTGCTATGTCTGTATGCTACGTCTTGTTCTATGTTGTTATTGTCTATATTGTAATTGTTTTTAATAACCTGCCCAGGGACTGCGGTTGAAAATTAGCCGGCTGGCTAAAACCGGCACTTTTACTGAAACGTTGATTAATGTGCACTGTCCCTGTAAAAATAAACTCAAACTCAAACTCAAACTCAATACCAACCTGGATCTGGGTTCAGGCTGTTTCAGTGTTAACCTCATACCAACCTGGATCTGGGTTCAGGCTGTTTCAGTGTTAACCTCATACCAACCTGGATCTGGGTTCAGGCTGTTTCAGTGTTAACCTCATACCAACCTGGATCTGGGTTCAGGCTGTTTCAGTGTTAACCTCATACCAACCTGGATCAGGCTGTTTCAGTGTTAACCTCATACCAACCTGGATCTGGGATCAAGCTGTTTCAGTGTTAACCTCATACCAACCTGTATCTGGGTTCAGGCTGTTTCAGTGTTAACCTCATACCAACCTGGATCTGGGTTCAGGCTGTTTCAGTGATAACCTCATACCAACCTAGATCTGGGTTCAGGCTGTTTCAGAGTTAACCTCATACCAACCTGGATCTGGGTTCAGGCTGTTTCAGTGTTAACCTCATACCAACCTGGATCTACTGCGGTCTTTGCTGATTTCTCGACTCCTCTCCTTCACACGCTCCCTCTCTCCTCTCTCTCCCCTCTCCCTCGTCCGGTCACGGTCCCGGTCCCGATCGATCCGGTCTCTGTCCCGCTCTCTCTCCTTGTTGTTGTCGTTTCTTTCCAGCTCCTTCTCTCTCTCCTTCTCCCTCTCGCGGTCCCGGCGCTCCCTCTCTCTCTCCCTCTCCTTGTCCCTCTCCCTCCTGTCCTTGTCGATCTCCTGCCGTTCCTGCTCTTTCTTTCCCTTCTCCTCCTCCAGTTTCTACAGGAAGTAGATGAGTACCCTGTGTTATCACTCTGCTGCTGTATTCACCAGACAACACAGTTTCTACAGGAAGTAGATGAGTACCCTGTGTTATCACTCTGCTGCTGTATTCACCAGACAACACAGTTTCTACAGGAAGTAGATGAGTACCCTGTGTTATCACTCTGCTGCTGTATTCACCAGACAACACAGTTTCTACAGGAAGTAGAGGAGTTGTCTCCATAGTGACCGTACGTACATACACCAATCAGAAGCCATGGATTACAGGCAACATCAGCACTGAGCTAAAGGGTAGAGCTGCCGCTTTTAAGGAACAAGACTCTAACCCGAACGCTTATAAGAAATCCGGCTACGCACTCAGACGAACCATCAAACAGCTAAAGCATGAATAGAGGACTAGGATGGAATCCTACTACACCGGCACCGGCGCTCGTCGGATGTGGCAGGGCTTGCAAACTATCCTACTACACCGGCGCCGGCGCTCGTCGGATGTGGCAGGGCTTGCAAACTATCCTACTACACCGGCGCCGGCGCTCGTCGGATGTGGCAGGGCTTGCAAACTATCCTACTACACCGGCGCCGACGCTCGTCGGATGTGGCAGGGCTTGCAAACTATCCTACTACACCGGCGCTCGTCGGATGTGGCAGGGCTTGCAAACTATCCTACTACACCGGCGCCGACGCTCGTAGGATGTGGCAGGGCTTGCAAACTATCCTACTACACCGGCTCCGACGCTCGTCGGATGTGGCAGGGCTTGCAAACTATCCTACTACACCGGCGCCGACGCTCGTCGGATGTGGCAGGGCTTGCAAACTATCCTACTACACCGGCTCCGACGCTCGTCGGATGTGGCAGGGCTTGCAAACTATCCTACTACACTGGCTCCGACGCTCGTCGGATGTGGCAGGGCTTGCAAACTATTTAGGATTACAAAAGGGAAGCCCAGCCGCGAGCTGCCCAGTGACGTGAGCCTACCAGACAAGCTAAAATGACTCCTATGCGCGCTTCGAGGCAAGCAACACTGAAGCAAGCATGAGAGCACCAGCTGTTCCGGACTGTTCCTGTGTGATCACGCTCGCCGTAGCCGATGTGATTAAGACCTTTAAACAGGTCAACATTGACAAGGCTGCAGGGCCAGACGGATTACCAGGACTTGTACTCTTTGCCTGTTTTATGGCTTGCTGGAGGTCTTAGCAGGATTTCTTATAAGCGTCCGGATTAGTGTCCCGCTACTTGAAAGCGGCAGCTCTAGCCTTAAACTCAGTGCGGATGTTTCCTGTAATCCATGGCTTCTGGTTGGGGTATGTACGTACGGTAATTGTGGGGACGACTTTGTCGATGCACTTATTAATGAAGCCGGTGACTTCTCACAGCCAAAATATTTCCCCATCTGGAGATGCTGGAAATCACTTTATCTAGTAACCATAAATCATTTCGCTAGCGGCCTTCAAAATATTTGAACGGCCTTAAAAATATTTCTAAGTGAAACAAAACAACTTTGTTGTTGTTTTATGCATTAATACCACAAAAATACAGATCAAGGTTCTAGACATTTCTCTCAGTGAAACAGGAAATAGAGATGGATCCTCTGTGGAGCCAATTGGTTGTTTGTTTGTGACTTACAGGTGATGAACTATGGACTCACTCAGCACGTCTGTCTCTGCCCCTACAAACCTACAAGCTACTCCTGTGAGGAAGATCAGGTCAAGTTCACAGAAACAAATTAAAGTGGAAATATATCTGTCCAAACGATCCCTTACAAATGACCAGTGATTAATTTACTGTACACATTACCCAGTTATATCACAACACATTAAAAAGACTAGCGTTTAGATACAAAATTGTGATCTTTTACATTGGTGTTAGAGAGAGAGAGAGCCAATGCAGTTAGGTATTCCAGTTTGGGTAAAGGAATGAAATCATAGAGCGGGTCTTACCCAGAGGTAGTCTTCTGATGTCCGTCATCAGATCGTCTCAGACCAACAGAGTGATTAACACAACTCACACACCAGACAAAGAGGGAGACAGAGTGCCAACAGCCCTTACATACATAGAGATATGGTCCTTCACTAATATGGTACCTTGCTAATACGGTACCTTGCTAATACGGTACCTCGCTAATACGGTACATCGCTAATACGGTACATCGCTAATACGGTACATCGCTAATACGGTACCTCGCTAATACGGTACCTCGCTAATACGGTACATCGCTAATACGGTACATCGCTAATATGGTACCTTGCTAATACGGTACCTCGCTAATACGGTACCTCACTAATGTGGTACCTTGCTACAAAAGGCTATGGCTATGTGCCCTTCACTATGAAAGCCATTATGATGGTAATAGATTTGAGCTGGTCAAATGCCATTGGATAATGTTGTGCTGGATAGTGGATCAGTATAAGAGAAACTAAACTATGGGTCTCCTGTCCTGTCAGAGAGGAAGGAGAGGAAATATAAGAACAGAGAGAAAGCTGGAAGAGATTTAGCCAAGAGTTCACTACACCTCTCACTTCCCTTTGGATAAAACTGATGTTCTAGAATGTTCCCTGTCCTGTCTGGACTTACCTCTGACTCAACAGTCCCCTGTCCTGTCTGTAATTACCTGACTAAACAGTCCCCCTGTCCTGTCTGTAATTACCTGACTCAACAGTCCCCTGTCCTGTCTGTAATTACCTGACTCAACAGTCCCCTGTCCTGTCTGGACTTACCTCTGACTCAACAGTCCCCTGTCCTGTCTGTAATTACCTGACTCAACAGTCCCCTGTCCTGTCTGTAATTACCTGACTCAACAGTCCCCTGTCCTGTCTGTAATTACCTGACTCAACAGTCCCCTGTCCTGTCTGTAATTACCTGACTCAACAGTCCCCTGTCCTGTCTGTAATTACCTGACTAAACAGTCCCCTGTCCTGTCTGTAATTACCTGACTCAACAGTCCCCTGTCCTGTCTGTAATTACCTGACTAAACAGTCCCCTGTCCTGTCTGTAATTACCTGACTCAACAGTCCCCTGTCCTGTCTGGACTTACCTCTGACTCAACAGTCCCCTGTCCTGTCTGTAATTACCTGACTCAACAGTCCCCTGTCCTGTCTGTAATTACCTGACTCAACAGTCCCCTGTCCTGTCTGTAATTACCTGACTCAACAGTCCCCTGTCCTGTCTGTAATTACCTGACTCAACAGTCCCCTGTCCTGTCTGTAATTACCTGACTCAACAGTCCCCTGTCCTGTCTGTAATTACCTGACTCAACAGTCCCCTGTCCTGTCTGTAATTACCTGACTCAACAGTCCCCTGTCCTGTCTGTAATTACCTGACTCAACAGTCCCCTGTCCTGTCTGTAATTACCTGACTCAACAGTCCCCTGTCCTGTCTGTAATTACCTGACTAAACAGTCCCCTGTCCTGTCTGGACTTACCTGACTCAACAGTCCCCTGTCCTGTCTGGACTTACCTCTGACTCAACAGTCCCCTGTCCTGTCTGTAATTACCTGACTCAACAGTCCCCTGTCCTGTCTGTAATTACCTGACTCAACAGTCCCCTGTCCTGTCTGTAATTACCTGACTCAACAGTCCCCTGTCCTGTCTGTAATTACCTGACTCAACAGTCCCCTGTCCTGTCTGTAATTACCTGACTCAACAGTCCCCTGTCCTGTCTGTAATTACCTGACTCAACAGTCCCCTGTCCTGTCTGTAATTACCTGACTCAACAGTCCCCTGTCCTGTCTGTAATTACCTGACTAAACAGTCCCCTGTCCTGTCTGTAATTACCTGACTAAACAGTCCCCTGTCCTGTCTGTAATTACCTGACTCAACAGTCCCCTGGGAATCAACAGTCCCTGTCCTGTCTGTAATTACCTGACTCAACAGTCCCCTGTCCTGTCTGTAATTACCTGACTCAACAGTCCCCTGTCCTGTCTGTAATTACCTGACTCAACAGTCCCCTGTCCTGTCTGTATTACCTGACTCAACAGTCCCCTGTCCTGTCTGTAATTACCTGACTCAACAGTCCCCTGTCCTGTCTGTAATTACCTGACTCAACAGTCCCCTGTCCTGTCTGTAATTACCTGACTCAACAGTCCCCTGTCCTGTCTGTAATTACCTGACTCAACAGTCCCCTGTCCTGTCTGTAATTACCTGACTCAACAGTCCCCTGTCCTGTCTGTAATTACCTGACTCAACAGTCCCCTGTCCTGTCTGTAATTACCTGACTCAACAGTCCCCTGTCCTGTCTGTAATTACCTGACTCAACAGTCCCCTGTCCTGTCTGTAATTACCTGACTCAACAGTCCCCTGTCCTGTCTGTAATTACCTGACTCAACAGTCCCCTGTCCTGTCTGTAATTACCTGACTCAACAGTCCCCTGGTGATGAGGCAATAGGTGATTCTGGCACTAGATGTGTGGTGTTTAGTGTGGCTAAGCAATACTCAAAGTCAAATCTTATCAATAAAACAAAGGATTTTATTTGTAAATGTTCTTTGAAATGCTTGGACCTTCATGTTCCACCTACACACTGTATATGATAGGCATATTGAACTGCTTAACCCTAACCTTCCAAGTCTATTAGAGTTAGAAAATAAGCAGCATAAAACAATATTTGACCATTCTGTGACGTCACTAAACAACGTTTTTCTTTAACATAATAAAGAGATAGGTAAGACAAGACAGGTAGAAAGATAGAGAACAGAGAATTAGAGAACAGAGAATTAGAGAGAGAGAGAGAGAGAGAGAGAGAGAGAGAGACAGAGAGACAGAGAGACAGAGAGACAGAGAGACAGAGAGACAGAGAGACAGAGAGACAGAGAGAGGGAGAGGGAGAGGGAGAGAGAGAGGGAGAGAGAGAGAGAGAGAGAGAGGGAGGGAGAGGGAGGGAGAGGACGAGAAAGCGGGAGGAGGATAAAAGACAGATAGAAAGTCTTACCTGTCTAGTCTTCAGAACTCCAGGTACTGCTGTGGAGGGGCGCTCCCTGCTTTAGTACCCTACACTACAGACTACAGGCTGATCAAACAGCTGCAGTGGTTATTCACTCCGGTTACTTTCCCAAAATGCCCTGGTTTTCCAAAAATATTCCAACCAGGATTTCTGGAAAACAGGGGAATTATGGAAAAATGACCTTAGTCTGCCTTCTTCCAACACGTCATTCAGAACAGTAGGACCTGCATAGGTTCACTGGGCTCTCTGGCCTTGTACTCACACAACCGGTGGGCCAACCCTTTTTAACCATGCCAACTATTTTAAAAATACACGGGTGTATGCAAAATGGCACCCCCCGATTCTCTAATACAGTGCACTACTTTTGGACCGGGAACCAATCAGAGCCAGTTGCTCCTTTGCAAGTCCTCCAGAAGGGAGCGCCCGAGAAGTAGAGAGAATAAATGAAAGATGATACTTACATCCTATTCCTCGCACACTTTTCCCCCAAAAGCTCTGAGATTCATCTTGATTTAGTCACCATATGACGTCTACCACAACGGTGGGGTTATAATCAATAGATTAGCTTTAAGGAACCTTTTACAGTAAGTCCATGCACTTTACCCTCCTCTCTATCTGGCTGTTTTAACTGCATGGTTTTACCCCAAGTCACTATTGTGAACAGTTGATCCAACACTACGCTACGCTGTTGGGGCTACTGAAATATATATAATTGTTGACTGATGGACATCCCACACACTGTTTAATAGTCCTCAATTTCAAGTTCAATTGAACAAATTAGCAAACATCTGAACTACTGTTGTGGACAACATTTGAAATCAATGTTATGATCTTAGAAACAGGGGGGGGGGTCAATATATGAATTTGTAGTCCAGTCCTTGACAGGGATGTTGAAACTACACTAGGTCTAATCTAGATGTGGGTATTGTAGTTTCTTTGTCCAAAAGCCTAATTTGAGTGTTATGTTAAGAGAATAGTGGAGTTACCTTGTGAGTGTCTCTGAATTTACTGATCTCTCTGGATATCAGGTCTCGTTTGTCATCCTCCATCTCCATCACATTGATGTCCTCCTGGGACACAGGTAAACAAACATGATGTCAGGTTCATAACATGTCCTTCTCCTACCACCAAGCTACCGAACAAGGACCAGGTGTAGCGTAGCACTTATATTTACTGAAAAAACTAAAATGGCTGCAGGTCATTACCTCCTCCTGGAAAACAAGTCAAGAAACAAACATCCTCCATGTAAAACACATTGATAAGATAACAATCTCTCATCACTCGCTAGGATTTAAATAGGAGAAATGGGGTGAGGACTTTCAGGTTAACCAGAAGCAAGTGCATCATTAACAGCAGTATTAGTGGTATTTACTGGTACCTTGCAGTCATATACTCTATTCTAATTTACAAGCGTACAGTTCCTTCGGAAAGTATTCAGACCGCTTGACTTTTTCCACATTTTGTTACGTTACAGCCTTATTCTAAAATGGATTGAATAAAATCCACAGCAATCTACACACAATCCCCCTTAATGACAAAACGAAAACAGGTTTTTAGAAATAGCTCCGAGACAGGATTGTGTCGAGGCACAGATCTGGGGAAGGGTACAAAAACATTTATGCAGCATTGAAGGTTCCCAAGAACACAGTGGCCTCCATCATTCTTAAATGGAAGAAGTTTGGAACCACCAAGACTCTTCCTAGAGCTGGCCGCCCGGCCAAACTGAGCAATCGGGGGAGAAGGGCCTTAGTCAGGGAGTTGACTAAGAACCCGATGGTCACTCTGACAGAGCTCCAGAGTTCCTCTGTGGAGATGGGAAAACCATCCAGAAGGACAACCATCTCTGCAGCACTCCACCCAGCAGGCCTTTATGGTAGAGTGGCCAGACGGAAGCCACTCCTCAGTAAAAGGCACATGACAGCCTGCTTGGAGTTTGCCAAAAGGCACCTAAAGGACTCTCTGATGAAACCAAGATTAAACTCTTTGGCCTGAATGCCAAGTGTCACATCTGGAGGAAACCTGGCACCATCCCTACGGTGAAGCATGGTGGTGGCAGCATCATGCTGTGGGGATGTTTTTCAGCGGCAGGGACTGGGAGACTAGTCAGGATTGAGGCAAAGATGAACAGAGCAAAGAACAGAGAGATCCTTGATGAAAACCTGCTCCAGAGCTCTCAGGACCTCAAACTGGGGCGAAGGTTCACCTTCCAACAGGACAACGACCCTAAGCACACAGCCAAGACAATGCAGGAGTGGCTTCGGGACAAGTCTCTGAATGTCCTTGAGTGGCCCAGCCAGAGCCCGGACTTGAACCCGATCGAACATCTCTGGAGAGACCTGAAAATAGCTGTGCAGCAACGCTCGCCATCCAACCTGACAGTGCTTGAGAGGATCTGCAGAGAAGAATGGGAGAAACTCCCCAAATACAGGTGTGCCAAGCTTGTAGCGTCATACCCAAGAAGACTGGAGGCTGTAATCACTGCCAAAGGTGCTTTAACAAAGTACTGAGTAAAGGGTCTGAATACTTAATTCAATTTAATATTTCAGTTTTTTTATTTTTTATAAATAGCTACAATTTCTAAAAACCTGTTTTTGCTTTGTCATTATGGGGTATTGTGTGTACATTGATGAGGAAAAAAACAAATGTAATCCATTTTAAGAATAAGGCTGTAACGTAACAAAATGTGGAAAAGGTCAAGGGGTCTGAATATTTTCTGAAGGCACTGTAGATATCCTCTGTTCAGTGGTGATGCTACTCCTCCTCCCACCTCCTCCTT